CTTATTTTTTATTTTGAGGTGGTCTCACTAAGTTGCCTAGGTTAGCCTTGAACTTGTGATCTTCCTGCTTCAGCCTCCCAAGTCACTGGGATTATAGGTGTATGCCACCACATTGGGCCCCAAAATGACTTAAAACAAAAATCAGTTAACAAAAGAAGTTAGGTGTTTTTGTTGTTAATTTTTTTCATTTCAGAAAAGCAAATAAAACAATTCAAAAGAGTTTGCTCCTGCAGGCTTTCAAATGTCATTCATTCCACCTAAACTTTACCAGTGTCTGTCTTGTGCCAGTTACTGGCTAATTCAAGATTTTCACCTTTGTGAGCTTGCAGTAGGGTGTCTGGTACTTGTGGCTGTTAAACAAATGAATGTATATCATTACAGTTGGTGACAAGTGTGAAGAAAGGGTCAGATGGTCTGAGGCAGGACTGCGTGGTGGGAGGGCCTTAGCCCTGGACTTGAAGCGGAAGCAGGAGGCAGGCACAGAGGGAGCAGCAGGCCTGTGCTTCTGCACTGGACAGGTTGAGAGCAGTTGCCAAAGGGAGGAGCCTGACTTTCCTGCTGATGACCGTGGAAGTGGGTCCATCTGGTTTTCCTAGACAGGGCTGTGGGTGCCGGGCATGTTCTTGGTGTGCAGATTCTGTAGGTGTGACCCAGATCCTGGTATTGGGTCTTGCTGGGCCTGGAGGCCCTCAAACCCATTTGGAAGTGCCAGCTCTTCAGGGTAAATGGCATGTGATTCCATTGACTTAATTGTATGATGGCTTTCAAAGCAGCACCCAGCCCATGACCTGGCATCACTATCTGTAAGTTTCCCCAGGTGATCCTAACGTCAGGGTTCGTGCCAACCCTGAAGGATCTTGTACTGTTAAGCCTGCTAGGGACTTGGCCTGGAAGGTGAGAGCCAGTTCCCATCAGCTTGGTGCTGCATGCGTGGCCGGCCCAGGCAGCACCAGCAGAGGGCACACGGAGCAAATGCGCTCTGAGCTAAGACCTCAGTTCCTGATGTGGGAGTGTAGAGTGAGTCGTCTTCCGGAACACCCAATGGGAGAGTGCCTGGGAGCTGTTAAAACCCCAAATGAACAAGAACAGATAACACCATGTTCAACCTTGTAGAGTTTGCTAGACCGTTTCTGTGCTTCCCATGTAATTCCAGTGCACCCCAATTTTGGGGAATTACCCAAAATGGGTGGGAATGCAGCTCTCCAAACGCAGAAATGGTCTTCTATGCAGGTGGGGCATGTGTCCCCCTTAAAAAAACAAAAATAATAATTGCCTTAGTTTCTTTGGGCTGCTGTGACAAACTACCACAGCCTGGGTGGCTCAAAATAACACACTTATTTCTCAGAGTTCTGGAGCCCAGGAAGTCCAATCAGGCTGACCCTGTGTCTGGTGGGGGTCCATTTCCTGGTTCATGGCTGCCATCCCTTGGCTGTGTTCTCATGTGGGGGAAAGGGTGAGGGAGCCTTCCCGATGTCCTTTATCAAGGCACCAATACCTTTCATGACCTAATCAGCTTCCAAAGTCCCCACCTCCAAATACCATTGCACTGGAGATGAAGTTCCAACATGAATTTCTGGGGACAGGGAGGGCAGAGATTCACTGTAGAGTAGTAATCTTCACACAAGAATGTGAAGATGTTCACTGAAATATTTCTAATAGCAAAAAAAAAAAAAAAAAGTCTCAAGTTTCCCTTAGTAGGGAACATAGTTAAACAATTGTTGGGTCCATACTGTGGCATTCATGTGGCCCTTAAAAAAGGGTGAGGTTGACCTACATCTGTAGGCAAGATGACTGTGGGGTGGCATGAAATGAAGAAAGCAAAACACAGAACAACATGGTTGGCGGTGGTCACCCCTGGGGAGGGTGTTGGTGGATGAGACCGGAAATCTTATGTTTTCAACTGGATACCCCTGCTAAGGTTTGAGTTTTCATCATGAGCCTGTCACTGCCCATAACACATGAAGGATGCTGTGGTGTACTCAGTCCCTGCCCAACTTTCTAAACGGGAGAAGTTTCCCAGCTATGAATTCTGATTCTGAACTCAGTGGCTGGGCACAGGAAACCCACGGTCAGTGGAAAGCATTTGTGACGTGACTGTGCTGGTCCCTTGTAGAGCGGCTTTCCTTCCTGTCTGGACGTGGCAATCCCCTTCCACTCTGCACGTGCTGTGGCTGTGTATCATTTAGATATGGAGGACAGGGTGGTCTGTGCCTTGTTGGTTTCCACATGGTCGTCACTTGAACTGGGGACAATGCTTCTGGTTTGCACATCAGGTAGCACATGGAACTTGAAACTGGTCACAGCTGTTGATCTTCCTACTGTTAACAAACCTGAGACTCACCTTGTCCCAGGGCCAGGTGTCTACCCACCTCCCAGCCTCTCATTCAGTCTCCATGTTGAATGCGCTTCCAGATGGATCAATGGGCACTGCTCCTCGCAGGGGACAGCCTGGGTGACTGCCCAATCACTCCAGTTGGCACTTGCCTCCAGCTGCTGTTTCATGACTTCCTTAATGGAAAGCAACAGGGTCCAATCAAGCCCCAGGCAGAGTCCAACTTTTATGGCCTTGTTTTGATCCTGTGGCTTTCAACCATAGAATCTTGCCTGATTAGAACTAATCAGGCAGGGCTGATACCATCTGGCCATGTTGGTACCAACTGGAGGGACAAAATATTCTTTTTACTGATCTACAGTTGGAGTATTCCAGCATCAGGTCTGTACCTGTGTTGGGAAATAGATGTAATATTTACGAGTAGAAATGCTGCTCTATGAGGTTGGTAGTGTCCTATGTGAGATACACTCAGCTATTCATGAAGAAGCAGCATCAAAAGGAATGTTAAGCACCTACTGTGTGCTGATGATTTTCCCATGATTTTATTTAATTTTGCCAGTAGCCGTTTGAGTTGGAGAACCCCAGGGAGGCGATAGAATGCAGGGCAAAGCACAAGGCTTCTGAAGCTGAGTTTCTTCTCTGTGTGAATCTCAGCCCTGCTGGGACCTTGGACCAGTTGTATAACCTCACTTTGTGCCTTGGTTTCTTCATTTGTGAAGTGAAGATAATAACAGTATATCACTGGGAGGACTAAATGACCTACTATAGGAAAAGCACTGAAAATATTGGTGGTTAGGCCAGGGAAGTGCTCAGGAAATATTAGTATTTACTATAATCACCCACATTTGGCAGGCGAGGCTCAGAGAGGTAAAGTGCCTTGCTCTGTGTCACCCAGGTAGAAAGTAGCAGAGCTGGGTCATTCTACCGACCTGTCCTGCCTCACCAGAGGGGAGGGAGGGACAGAATATAGAAAACATTGACCTATTTTAAAAGTGTATTTGATCTTGAAGTTCTGGTATCTTTAATCCAGCTGCCTTAGAAATGTGCATTTTGGAGCTCACACTAATGCTGACCAGTTCTTGTTGACTTTCAAGGACTGCCTATTTGGGTGGCGCACACCTATAATCCCAGCAACTCAGGAAGCAGAGGCAGGAGGATCACAAGTTTGAGGACAGCCTCAGCAACATAGGGAGGCCCTAAGAAACTTAGTGAGACCCCACTCAAAATAAAAAACAGAGGCTGGGGATGTGGCTTAGTGGTAAGCGCCCCTGGAATCAATCCCTGGTAGCAAAGCCAGGCTGGCTGAAGGAAAGCGCCCTGAGTGCTCGACAGTCCCATCCTCAGCCAGTCCTTCATCAGCTGCATGCAGGGGTCCACAGTGATCTTTCTTTCACAGGTTGTATAGATCACATCCTGGCCTCCAAGTGGCAAGGTTTTGGGCAGGCGCGCCTAGCTTCGGTTTCCTTGTCTTAAACGTAGGTCTACAAAAGAAACACCTTGTAGTTTCATTGTGAGAATTTTAAAGCACCATCAGAAAAGGAGGCTTGCCGTGAATGTTCAAAATGACGATCAGCACTATTTACCGGGATTATTGTTTAAAGGTACATCTTATGGTAAATACTGCCTTCCAGGCTAAATGGTTCATAGACTTGTTGGATGTCCAATTTGGAAGGACCCTGGAAAGATGTGATCCAAACAGTACATTTTACAGTTAAGGAAAATAAGGACCTTGAGAACCACAGCTGCTGCTCGGACAGAGGTGGCTCCAGCTCAGGACACCAGAGGGGTCAGAGAGCTGACCATTTCCACAGTGTCTCAAAGCATCCCTGTGCCTTCCCCTATTGCTTCTGCTCCTAGTTTATTCCGTTGTCAACCACCAGGGAATCTAACTTGGTTTGGAGTGATTTTAGGATTTTTTAAAAAACTCTTTAGGGTGAATCCTAATACATCTGGTGTTGAGAATGACTGTCCTGTTTGGCCTTTGCTTTTCTTTCTTCTCCAACCTGTCTCGCTGTCTCCTCTCCAGGCCACAGGCCAGCTTCCTAACTGCTCTTGGGACTCCCTGTTCCTTGTGGAGAACCCTCAGGAGTCTTTCTAAAACATGCCCTGGATGACTCCCTGCTCCAGACCTTTGGCCACATGTCCCACATGGAAGGCTCATATTGCTCAGCATGGCAGAGAAGGTCCCAGGAGACTGAGCCCTGCCTTCTTGCTTGACCTGGTCACAGCCTCATCTTGTCTCCCTGTTTGTGATCTAGCGATAAGGATCTCAGAGCCGCCAGTCCGGCCCTGCCTTCCTGCCTCTGTCTGGCTGTAATCTTCCTCTGAAACGTCCCCCATTGCTGGAGCACCCCTTCACCTTGGAGGTAGCCTTGTGCATCTGCAGCATGCAGTGTCTGTCTCGTCCCTACACTAGGTGGTCATGACCTTTCCCGCCAGAACGTGGGCTGAGAGAAGGGTGGTGCCTCATCCACCCTGACATCTCTGTCACATGATATGAATGTAGCGAAGATGGCCTTACAGCACTTCTGAGCCCAGGGTGGCTTACGCAGGTAGGGCTTCCCCAAGACGTCTCTACCGGGTGTACGATAGGTGCTTCCTAAGTGCTTATCAAATAATTATGTAACAAAACCATTTCTAACTCAGAAAGTCCACGTTCACGCTGTTGTTTCCATTATAAATTTTTTTTTTTAATTTAAGAATACTGATCAACACAGGAAACATTTAATTCATGGAATTGTGCATGTGGTCATCAGTTACATTGTGGCATGTTAATTTCCTTATCATTTATTGGCACTGTCAACAGAATACTGTAAACAAGATCACTTTGTATGCATAAGTCTGCGATGCTCCCTAGCTATGGTTTCTACCATGAGCTGATATATAGAGATAGGATAGATATATAGATATGTTAATGTGGAGCACAATTTTGCATGGTTACTGAGAGTCAGTAAAAATTATAAAAAAACACCCATTTATAATAAAAGGGAGGATGTGCTAAGACTTGCTAGTACTGGACTTGGTTTTCTGTAAAAGTGACAAGACAGGCTAGAGACATTCACCAGACTTGATGGTACTAATGGGTGATGGGTTCATCTCCAGACCCCCACAGAAGCACTTCCTCCTGGGCTCTGCCCTGGACAGCAGCTGTCCATTGGCTTACAGTGTCTTCTCCAGACTCTTCTCAGTTTCTGCCATCTTGAACTCTGCCAAAAATTCTTTTCCTTGGATTTCCTCTAGCTCACCCCCACCCCACAAAAGAGGACATCTCAGGAGCTCATCATGCCCCAAGTTGACAAGGACTTGGTAAATGGCTTAAACACTTTACAAGTAACTTCCCTTGGTAAGGAGTGAATGATAAGTTCAGAAATGACTTTCCAGATAAAATGATCTCATTCCTCCGTCAGTGCCTCGTGGGGAGAGAACAGAATACTGGAGCCATGCCCTCCAATGAAGAGAGCCAAGTTTCTCAGTGTTCCCAGGCTTAGAATCCTCAGGACTCCAAGAATCTTATTGAATATTTGCACCGGTGCTAAAGTTCTCAGGAGAAAGCATACATAATCCCATATATGCATCATGGTTGGGTTTGCATTTTTCTTGTTTGTTAAGTAAGGCTTGAACCTTGGGATATTGCCTGTGGAATCTGGCTCCCCAGTTAAAGGAATGAGACTGTGAACTTCTGTATGCCGTTCCCTTTCTGGAACGTTCTTCCGTGCCCTGTCTGCTTGGTGAACTTGCTCATTCTGCAAAGTCCTGCTCAAACGTTACTTTCTCCTTGAAAGTTCCTCTACACTTCAGGCAGATTGGGGTCCTCCCTCTGACTTACTGTGCTCCTCATGCATCTCTGTCATTGCACTTGCCATTATGATATATTTGGTTTTAGAGTCGGTTGTTCCCCATGGATAGTGAGTCCTTTGAGAGCAGGGACCACATTTTATTTCCCATGTGTCTTCCAGATGCTTAGCACAGGGCCTGGGGTGGCACAGGTATTTCATGATAGTTTGATGAGTGAGTGAAGATTGATGTATTAAAAAAAGCATACAAATGGGTGAGAGGGAGGCATGCCTCCTCATGTAGTTAGCAGGGCAAACATGACCTCAGACGTGGTAAAACTCCTTAGGAAAAGCGGCAGATTTCCTGCAGACTGCAGGAATGCAAAGTGACCCAGGACTTGTGGATCCGTCCAGCTCTGTTAACATTTCATCTCAACAAAAAAGGCTGATGATCAAGCATGAGGAAGAGTGGGAGCTGAATCTTTGGATGATTAGTTATTAAAAGGACAAAATACTGAATTGGGAATCTTGACACGTCCATCTTCCAAAACAGTCCACCAAGGCACCAGAGGTGCAGAGGTTTCCCTCTGGTCACAGAATACAAGCCAGACTCTCTGTCTACCCAGTGGACTATGCCTTGAGGCTGCAGGATTCTCAACGGCTCTTTTTAGGAGCATCTGAGGTCAGATAAGTTCCGAGAAGGTCTCGCCTCTGGCAGAGATGCTGGGCCTTGTCCACAACCTGCTCAGCCACATAAGAATCATCTACCTGTGATCTCCAGCTCCGGCATCTCAGGCAAAGCGGAGTTCAGGGGCAAGTATAAGGAAGCAACCAACAGGTTGCTTTTCATGTGCAGGGCTCTGGTGTCTAATTCACAACACTTCCCTCAAGAAGAAAGCTAGTCCAGCAGTGGCTCCCTCTGATGGGTCAGCTCTGCTCAGAAGCAGAGTGAAGGCAGATGAATGAAAGCTGAGAAGGAGCCTCCCAGGAGGGAGGGTCAAGGGTCAGACCTCAAGGGGCCCCAGGAGATGGGATGAAGTGGTTCTGGGCTTCTGCTCCTGGGTGGACAGACTCGTGCTTCTGACCTTCCAGCTCTTGTGTGTCCCCTGCATGCTCAGGTCACACTTTAGGCTGCACATACAACAGGGAGGATGGTGTGGGGATAGAGGGTGTCAGTAAGAACCATCCTCGATCTGCCTAGAGATCCTCCAAGGACAGAGGCCCATCATGGGTGGAACTGAGAGTTTAGAGGACCCCAGGAGCACTGAGAGGAGAGGTCCTAGTCTCAGGGGCCAGAGGTCCCCCTTCCCCAAGCTCAGTCCTCCTGTGCCTGCTTTGTTGGTTCCTGGGAACCATCCAGTCTGGCACGGAATCATGCATGGGGTGTTCAGAGCTCCAGGTGCTGGGGAAGGAAGGGAAAGCGTGTTTGTTGCATAGGGTGAGGGGAAGCCAGCCATCTTTGATTATAGGACAGGGCATTTGAGATAGCCTGGAACCCAAGAGCCCTGGCCACCAGCCTCAGGAGCAGGTGGGACTCCCTTGACTGGCTTCTAAAGAAATTGTCAGGGTTGGGTGGGCTGAAATATGGCCAGGACCCACATGGCCCTCTCCAAGACCATGTGCAGGACTCCACCAGAAATTCTGGGCTGAAACCAACTGGTACCATTGGCTCTGCTAGGAGGAAAATCAAAGCCAGTCCCGTCCTCCCTTCCCCTCTCCCACAACCACCAAAACATCCCCTCTCCACAAATAACCCTTCAGTTTATGCATTCGCCTCTGACGCTTTTAAGTGGAAACATGAATTAGGCAAACTAATCAATTGACAACTGTTGAGATCGGGCTTCTCTGAGTGTAGTGGAAATGGCTTTTCTACTTGAAATCTGCTAAGATGTCGCTGAAAATATTGAGGAACAGGTGAGCATGGTGATCCCTGAAGACCAGTGTGGGACGGAAACGGATGGACTTGTCGCCGCAGCCCCCCAACACCACACCTGGGGGAAGAGGCAGGAGGTGGTTAGGCAGGGGGCTCCGGGTGGGTGTGCCAGGAGGGCTGGGAGGACAGTGACGCTCACCCACCATATGGTCCTCCTGGCCAGGCTCCCTCCTGACCTGCCCGTCCATTCCCCCACCCACCTCAGCCCCCCTCCGCTTCTTTCCCGCCACCTGATTCTGAATGCCTGCTTTCCTTGCCCTCCAGAGGCTCGTTATGTGCTGGGGAAGAAAACTCAGGCCATGCAGGCATGAGGTGTCCTGGCGGAGGGACTCTCTGGCTGGTGCTCAAGGGCAGCTTTCCATCTGCAGCGGGGCTTGCTCCCACCTCCCCTTCCCCGTTGGGGAGGGAACCAGGGGCTGCACATACTAGACAAGGACCCGATCCCCCAGCCCCTGGTTTTCTCATTTTAAAAAGGAGGCCGATTATCCCTGCCTTGCAGGGCTGCTGCAGGGATTCCACAAGAAGGCATGAGAAAAAGATATGACTTTGTACCTGACACATAGTAGGTGCTCTGATCACATCATAATCCCCCCTCGCCCACTTAAAACAATTCTGAGGCTTCCCTGAGCTCCTAGAGTCTGGCTTCTGGACCCTGATGTGGGCCTGCTGCACTCCGCCAATCCCTGTCTGTCCCCACCTCCCTCCGCTCTTTCTGCTTCTCCACCTGTTAGCTCCACCTGCCTCAGGTGTGCCTGCGTGCTTTCCTTGCCCAGGATGTTCTTCCTCTCCTTCCCCACCTGGCCAAGCCCTGTTCCTTTCTCAAGGCCGGGGTAAAATGCCACCTCCTTAAAGCAGCTTTTGCTGACTTCTGGCCCCCACTATTTCCCCACCTGATCTCTCCACCCCTCCATCTCACCCTTTCCCCTTCCCCAGGATTTGTAATCGTAGTAGGTTACAAAATGCTGTGCTTACTGCTCCCCTCCCTGTGAGATTGCACCTCCCTGAAGGAAAGACTCTGAGGGTTTCTTCACAGTGACTCTGGACATTGATGAAACTCAAATGTCCATTCTGGGTCTCCTTACCTTTGTTTCTGGCAATTAAAATGAGTTTGTTCCTTATGGATTCATCTGGAGTGTCGAAGGAGCAAAAGGTGCCTCGTCCTCTCACCCTGCTGATGTACTGGGGGTACCGGGCCTGCAATGGGGTGACAAAGAGGGTGTCAAAGCCATCTCCTGGGCACCAGCTGGGCTCCATGGCTGTGCTTTCTCAGATGCCTCTCCTGGTCCAGTCCTTGGGGCTCTGCTGGACTGGTAGGACCACTGTTGGGTTAAGAGCTCTGGTTCTGGAGACATCCAGGCCTGGGTTTAGAACTCAGCTGTCTCCTTCACATCATGTAACCTTGGGTGGATCATTTAAGTGGCCCACACCTGATTCCTCTTCTGTAAACCAAAGGTGCAAATGCCACTGACCCTAATAACCTGTGCAAAGATTTTAATGGGATAGGGTTTATGTGCCAAGTCCTATGCCCAGGGCCTGGCACTTAGTAGGTGCTCTTTATATGTTAGCCATCTCTATTATTAGCTATTCTAGAAGCTACTATTCCTTCTAGAAGGAATGCTCCTTCTCATTGAAGGCTTTGGGGTTGGGAGAGGCACTGGGTTGAGTGGTGCCTGGTCGCACCATTTGGAACCTGTGCAAATGACCTTGTTCGGAATAGGGACTTTGCAGAGGTAGTTAGTATGAGTCCTACTGGACAGAGGTGGGTTCGATCCAATGACAGGTGTCACAACGGATAAGATGGGCATTTGGACACAAGCACAGTGGGGAGGAGGCCAGGGGATGGTGGAAGCAGAGACTGGAGGACACATGCACGAGCCAAGGACCAGCAGCCCCCAGAAGCTGGGCGAGGCGGAACCTCCTGCAGGAACAAACCCTTCCAGGACCGTGTGAGAATAAATTCTTATTTTAAGCCACCCAGTTTTCAGCCATCTGGGAGACACAAAGGCCCTGGACCAGAGGGTCCATCCCTCCCTGCTCTACACTGTCCACATGCAGGGCAGCGGGTGAGGCCTAGGTAACCCTGAATCCTCTCAGGCACTGGGAGGGGCATTGCTGAAGCAGCTCTTCTCTCACAACAGGTCCCTGGTGGAAACTGCAGACCCAGTCGTGCTCTGGTGGTGATGGAACCCCCTCCTACACCAGCAAGCAGTTTCTTGGGAGGCAGGGATCCAGGTCTGTTCCATTTGGACATAACTTAGGGCCCTTGTGACACACACACACACTCTTAATGGCTATCGACTGAATGAGTGCAGGGCAGCAGGAACGACAGCCCCTGCTCCAGGCCGGGCTCTGATGGCCTGTGGTCTGCACGTGTGCATCTGCATAGGCCTCTCCCTCTTAGTCACCCATTCCCCCCTAATTATTTTAGGGCATTCCTATAATCTCAACTCCTTGCCTATAGCTTTCTGAGATTCCAACAGGGACCCAGAACCCCTCCCACCCCTCTAAATTAGCCCCCATGCAGGTTCTCAAAAGCAGGATGCCAGGGAGTTCCCCAGAACACTTTTTGGCGCATCTTCACCTGGGCTTGCTTTCACTGGGGAGGCTGGAGGGTCAGGAGGACAATGCTTCTCTCCATTCCCCTGTGCAGCACCGAGACCTCAGGTCTGACTGCCTGTCCCGTTGTTCTCTGTCCCACTGGCCTATTTGGGGTCATCGTGGACTGTTCTGAACTTCTCTTGTCTTTTCTCTCCTGGTGCCTTTTCTTTGTGTTCCCATTCACGTCCCCACCAGGCCATGTGCTCTGCCTGTCCCTTTTTATCTCCAGAGTCTGCAAGCTGCCCCATGATGATGTCTCATGAGGAGGGCAGCCTTGGGTCCACGTGGACCTTTCAGGAAGGGAACTCAGCTCAGGACAAGGGGCAGCCCCAGGACACCAAGATCCCTGTCTGGTCTGGACCCAACATGATGTCCCACAATTGACTAAGATGACCCCGAGCAGGGCCCAGATGCCTCCTGGGGCAATAAATGTCACCTGTCACTTCTGCCCATGCCATTTCCCAGTGTTGAGGCTCTTAGCAGGAAAGGTTCAGCCCTGTTTGGATGATTTCCCTCTTTCCCTGCCCCTCTGCCACCCTCAGTTTAAATTCTAACTCAGTTCAAGAGGAATCCATCCAGAACACACCCACTGGGGGTCTCAGCTATCTCCTTAGCGAAACTAACCCCTTCAGAGTCTTCACAGTCAGGCAGACCTGGCTTTAAAGCTTGGCTCCCTCACTGCTGCCTGGGCCTGGGCAAAGGACACATCTCCCCAAACCTCCATCTTCTCATCCAGAAAATAAGGATAGTTATATTTTCCTAATCTCAAGTCATTCTGAGTTAAGGTTTTCAAGTAAAACATAGGATGTCAAACTAAATTTGAATTTCAGGTAAACAACAAACAATTTTATAAAGTATAAATGTATCCTAACTATTGCATGCCTGGGATATGCTTCTGCTAAAAAAAGAGAAAATCAGTTGCTGTTTCTCAAACAACTGGACATCTTCTAATGTAATTTGCTAAATCTGGCCACCCTGCATGGGGATGGAGCTGGAGCCCCTGACTCCTCTTGTATCCAAATCCAAGTTCTGGACCTTGGATTTCTGAGACTTAAATTTAATGTTGGTCCTGTCTTTTCCTCATTAAATATGATAACTCTATTCTAAACATTAAATGAGATAAAGCCTTTAACACAAGATCTGGCATACCAAGTTCTCAATAAACAGAAGTTATCATCATTAGGTCCTTATCATGACAGAGAGGTAAACATCGGCAAAGAACACAGACCATCAGCGTCACTACCATCGCCACCACCATCACCATCATACCACTGTCAATATACCAAACATACCATCACCTTCACTACCATTACCACACCAGTATCATCAACATCATCACCATCACCATCGCCTTCACCACCATCACTATTATCACCAACATTATCACCATCTGCTGGGAGCCATTAGCCAAGTAGGTATGACAATTTCCTTGCCAGCGTACCCCATGTTGCTTAGTGGAAGGACTCGTGGAAATAGGACATTTTGCAGTGACATTGCATGTAGGTGACCTTGCTTAAGGACCAGGGCGGATTAGGGTGTTCCCGGTTTAGGATAATCGGGTTTAGGGCGTTCCCGGTTTAGGATAATCGGGTTTAGGGCGTTCCCGGTTTAGGTTCCAGGTTTAAGGTTTAAGATTATTCCTGCTGGGAATAGGGCGTATCCTGCTGCCTGAGTTCCCCTTGAGTTCTCACGGGATTCAGACAGTATTTTTTGGGAGACAGAAGCCCAGTGGAGGTGGATTTGGGCAGAGAACGTGGATTTCCCCAGAACGTGATTGTAGACGGCTGGTGTGAGTTCGGGAATAAAGAGTTGCTGTTTGAATCTACAAGCTGTGTGGTGGCTCGTGATTGTGTGCCCAGCCAGACTGCGGCATTTGTGCCCAGCCAGACTGCAGCAACCATCACCTTCACTACCCTTACCATCACTATTATCACCAACATTATCACCATACCATCACCATTACCACTATCATCATCACTATCACCACCTTAGTGAGCTTCTGCTCATGTCACTGCTGGCTGGATGTTTCAAATACCAGGGGAGGGACCCTTTGAGATCAGCCACCCAGAGAAAGGCACCTCTCCTTCCCACTCCTGCGTTCTTCTGGCTGGTCCTGAGAACACTGGTTCTCTTCCAGCCACCTCCCACCTTGACCCTGAGTCTAGGAGAGGGCACTTGTGTGTGTTGGACAAAAAGCTCTAATGCAGAGCTGTCCTTCCTAATGGCTGCTGAAACGTGATGAGTCCAAACTGAAATATGCTCTAAGTTTAAAATATATACCAGATTTTAAAAGCTAGGTATGAGAAAAATAATCTGAAATAGCACATTGTTTGTTTTCTATATTGGTGACCTGTTGAATTGATAATCTTTTTGATATAATGTGTGAAGCAAAATATATTCTTAAAATTAATTTTACTTCCTCCTATCTACTTTTCACGTGGCTTCTAGAACATTTAACATTACCTACAGCTGGCTGCAGATCACGGTGGACAGGCCTGCTAAGCTTGGGAATATGCAGAAGGCAGAACAGAAGAGGGAATGAGGAGCACGCTGTGGGGCAGGAGGGAGTGTGGGGCAGGAGGGAGTGTGCGCCAGCCTCTCCAAGGAGGGATGTCTGAGATCACATCAGAGGGTGAGCAGGAGTCAGGAGCGGGGGAGGGGCGGTGCGGAGGAGTAGGGGGGCACGTTCTCTGTGGGGAGCCTGGAGCAGCATGGCCGGCTCAGGACCTCTGAACAGCAGGTGCAGTGCCATGTGAGGGTCCGGCTGCAGCCCTGGGGGTGCAGGCGCCTGGATGGTGGGTCTGAGTGGGTACCTGGAGGTCCAGCAGCCCCGTGAGCAGGGCCTTCCCGGCACGGGCCGCGTTATCCAGCAGGTCCTCCCGCTTGATGACATTGATGACCTCGGCCAGCAACAAGTTCTTAGACGGGTCCCCCAGCCAGGTGTTGAAGATCCGGTAAGGCTGGAAGGAGGTGGAGTGTCAGGAGGGCTCACGTGGCCACTCCCTGCAGGGCCCCCACCTCTGACACACCTTCTTCTCCAGAGGACACCTGCCAAAGGCCAGGAGGGTAGCAGCCCTGTTCCCCCAGAGTCCTCCCAAGTCCGCCCTTCAGGCATGCACACTGTGGGGAGACCGAGATGCCGGCTCCCTGGAGATGCCTCAGGCCTGGGGAGGTCAGGACGGTGGGGCCTCCACTCGGGGCTTGCACTGAGTATCAAGAGACGCGTCCCCGGGTGGTTTTGTGACCGTGAGGACATCACAGAGTGAGCGTACACAAACTAAGGCAGTGGAGACGCTGCTAGGTCATAGGTGGTGCGATCTTGGGGGCCACCACGATACATGAGGTGTGTTGTTGAGCGAAACCTCAGCCTGGGGTGCATGACTGGCCTGTGACCCTCACTTCACAGGGCAGGGAGCTGAGGTTCTGAGAGGGGAGGGTCTTGCCCATGGCAAATGCAGCTAAGGAGGGGGAGCTGACTGGGCTGTGGGCACTCTACCCCTGATAGGTCCCCCACTTCACCCACCCTCAGCCGTTCAGGGAATAGGCAGGGCTGTGGCCAACGGAAGCACACACTTCCCGGCCTCTGTGTCTTGAGGACTGGCCGGGTGACCTGGCCTTCTGGAGTGTGGAAGCGTCCTGAGGGATTTCTCGGGCTTCTGAAGACAGGAAGGGGCTCCTTTCCATCCCTTCTTTCCTTTCCCACTGCGTAGAACTGAGGTCTGACTCCTGGAGTTCCAGCAGCCATTTCAGATCACAGTGACCTCGAGGGTAGGAATGATGGGAGGAGGATTCCGGGCCCGATGTTGCACACTCATCGGTATGTACACACAGCAGTATACTGTAGTGGTTTGGGGCATTTGAATCCTGGCTTTGTCACTTACAGGCCGTGTGACCTTGGACAACTTACTTCTCTGTGCCTGTTTCCCCATTAGTAAAATGGGAATAACAATAACACCCATGGGTTAGACTGTTGTGAGGACTAAGAGAACCTGTGAAGTGCTCCGCACACAGCACTGGTTCCGTCTGCCGTAGCAGATCTTACTGATCTTACTGAGAAAGTCTGAAGATGGACAGTGGACGGCTGTGCAGATGGCTTGCAGAGGAGCTGGAGCTGGGGTAACCATGACCATCGACTAAAGTGACAAGTGGGGTCTTCCAACACCTCAGGGACATACCAGGTGCCCCGAGTCCTGTGTGAGAGGCCTGGTTCTGGGGATGGCACGCCCTCGCCTGCGGCCTGCCGGGCCCACTCACCGCGCTGGGCCTGAACTCCTCCTTGTGGAAGAAGCCCCCAGTCATCATCTTCTTGCTGAAGGTCATCACGTCTGCAGGGTCATCCAGGCCCCAGTGCTCGTGGGCCCAGAACTTGCCTGTGCAGCCTCCTCCCGTCTGGACCTCATCCACCAAGAAGGCACAGCCATGCTGCCCCAGACAGGAGACAGGAGGGAGAAATCAACACCTGGCGAGGCCAGCGGCCCCCACCCTGCACAGTGACCTGCCATTGAACCCAGAACCCAGCCACAGCTCCTGCTGGCTCAGCTGCAGAGCAAACCAACGTTCTTGGGCTTTGAAAATCAAAACCAAACCCTCCAGCAGAGGAGCAGCTCCAGCCTGAGCTGTGCTGAGTGCTGCGCATGTCCTGAGACTGCCCAGCTGGGGTCAGCAGGGGCCTGAGAGCTGCACCAAGCCTGTTTGGTTTGGCCCTAGTCCCGGGATTGACCCTGGCAGGAGTAAATGTGTCCTCAGTGGGGAGGGGACGTCACCTCCTACACTCAGTTTCCACATTCTGCCTATCGCCATGCCCATTGCTAACACGGTACTGTGTCTAAACCAACTCACGACTTGCAGCATTTATCTGTGGACTCACTAGTTGACGTGTGAGTCATACACGCACAACCCGTTAAAACAGACACGGGATCTTAACAGTTTGTCCATTGGGGCCCCATCGAGTATGGACTACAACTGACTGAAAGATGGGATGAGGGTCTCCAGAAAGGAAAGGGAGGAGGCTGAGGCCTTCCCAGGAGCCGCTTAATTATTGAGAAAGCTCCAAATGAAAGCAGCAGGTTGGTGGCTGATTTTGCAATAACATTTTAAAGAAGCACTCCCCACCCCCCACCTCCTCTATCCATGATGTGACCCCTGCTGCACATCGGGATGTTCCACGGGTTCCAGAGCTCACTCTTTGCTCCTGGAACCCAACCCAAAAACCTCTGTGGCCTTGCCATGTTCTCTGACCTTCCTAGCAATGTCTCTCAGCTTCCGGAAGAAGTCATCCGAGGCGTGGTTGTCTCCACCCTCGGACTGGATGGGCTCCACGATGACCCCAGCCACCGTCTTCTTCTTTTTCCGATATTTCACGATCAGGTCCTCCACCTGGAAACCATGGAAAAGTGACAGCAGCTTGCAAAGGTGACAATGCCTCAGGGACGCTCCTGAGCTGCGTCCATGGAGGGATGTCTGGGGCTCCATGAGCCCCTTGGAATGGTACTGAGAGTGCTGTGCCACTTTGGGGACCAGCATGGGTCCCTTAGGAGCAATGCATCTGACCTGAGGTTGGCGCTGGTGCTGGTGGGGAGGCAAGCCGAGCCCTGGGCCAAGTGACTGCACTTGGGAAGCCCCATCCTGACCCACAAGGCAGCTGTGGTTGGCTCAGAGAAGCTACCGGCAGGGAGAGCCCCACTGCCACCGCTGCACCTCGTCACCCTTACATTCTTGTTGCTCTCATCGTAGGTGTGAGCATCTTTTGGCAGAATCTGAGATGGCTCCTCTCTAAAACACTGTTGTGAAGCTCATCTGCAGACAGCGACCCCACCAGGGCAGTGTGGAGTGAGGTCAGGGGAACACTCGGCATCGTGCTTGGTCCAAATTGAGTTGAGCTCTAAGTATAAAATACACACAGTGTCCCAGACTCAATGTGGAAAGTTAAAATGTCTCTCTGATCATTTAAAAATACTAATGACATACTGACATAGTAGGTTCAACAAAATGCTGTTAAAGTTAATGTCTTTTTAATTTCAAAAACCACGATGTTTGTACAATGGCGAACACCTGTAATCCCAGTGGCTCAGGAAGCTGAGGCAGGAGGATCCCAAGTTCAAAGCCAGCCTCAGCAACTTAGCAAGTCCCCAAGCAACATAGTAAGACCCTGTCTCAAAATAAAAAACAAAAAGGAAAATAGGGCTGGGGATGTGATTCAGTGGTAGAGCACCCCTGGGCTCAATCCTCACCCCTCAAAAAAAGATGAAATTAATTTTAATAGCACTTTACTGAACTTAATCTATCCAAACTATTATGTCAATATGTAATGAATATTTAAAATTTACTAGTGAGATTTTTTTCATATTAAGCCCTTAAAATACTGGGTATATTTCATTTTTTATTTCAATTTGGACCACGCACACCAAGTGCTCCCCAATCCCACCTCCACAGAGCCCTGATAGGATCACTGTCACTACAGATGAGCTTCACATGTTATTAAAATGAGGAGTGACCTCAGGTTCTGTCCCCAAAGAAGCGTGAGTGATAGAGAAGCTGGTACCAGAAGTGGAGGATGAGTGTGGTGGCAGAAAGAGGGTCTCACCACCCTTCCAGACACGGAACACGTGAGGCATGAGGTCTCTCTGTCCCCACCTCCTTTCTAGGGACCACGACCCTCATCCCAGATGAGGCGTCTGTCCTCTGGGCCAGGCAGGCAGGGCGGAGAAGGGATGGGGAGGTGAAGGGAGGGGGCGGTACCTCCTCCAGGCAGCGCGCCTCCTCTTGCTCGTTCTCCTTCACAAACTCTTCCAGAGGATATTTCAGCCGCGGGAACGGTGCGATGGGCCAGTCGAAGGAAGGGATGTCGATCTTGTGAATTGCTTTGGAGTGCGTGGTTGCCAGACAACCTGAGCCCAGCGAGACAGAAGAGCACATGCTTGGCTGGGGCAGTGGCACGACAGTCTTTGAAGGGGACGTGATTTCAGCCCCAGACCTGAAATGGCCAGGGAGTCTCTGGCCTACAGATCCCAGCTCTTGTAACATCCTGAAGAGCCCACAAATGGGTGTGTGTGTGTGTGTGTGTGTGCGCGCGCGTGTGTGCACGCACGTGCACGTGCACGTGTGCTTTATGATTTGCCACTCATTACACACAAGCTCTAAAGATGAGACACAAGGGTTTAAATCCCAGCCTCTGCCACTGAATGGCCTTGGCAAGTTCCTTCTCTTGCTGACCCTCAATTTCTACATCTGCAAAGTGGACATAACGGTGCCCCTCTTGGGGGAATCGTCTGGAATCTACGAGAATTGTGTAAATCTCCAGCGCCAGACCAAAGGCAGTGGCGCTACTGCTGTTGCTGTTGCCATCACTGTAAATGCCACCCTGGGACCACATCCATCCTCCTTACCCATGGTCCTCCCGTGGAAAGCACCCATGAAGGAGAGGATGCTGTAGTCGGGGCACCCAGGGGCCTAGAACCAAGAAAGATCAGTGTCAGTCATCCTTGTGAGGACTGGGAACCAGTGTGACCCTGCCAAATAGAGGAGGAAAGTCTATCAGAAGAACCATGTCCTTCCAGGCAGAGAAGTTGTAAGTGGGTCCCTGAAGTCCCTACCCAGCCCCCATATGTTCTGTTCTGTTCATGCACTTAAAGAATTAAGAAAAAAAGTTATCAAATTTAAGACCAATTTCACATATATCTGAATTTCTGACTTCCCATGAGTTCTGCACAGGTGGGACATTTTTCTCCCTCGCAGGTGGCCACAGTGCTCATGCTGTGCTCCTCTCAGCTGGGGTCTCTGAACTCAGACCCTGTTCTACCATCTCTGCCAGCTCGGCCCACACCCTGCCCTCCACAGCTCTTAGGGGGTCCCACGCTGCAGGATGTGCTGTGAACTGGTCCGTGGGGGACACCCACCTTTCCCACTCCCCTGCCCCCCCTGCAGCTGCCCTTGGGTGTGAGGGTCAGGAAGCCAATGCAAGAGTTCCCAACCTCTGCCTGGCCCCAAGGAAAGGATGCAGCTGCCCCTGCTGGCATGGGTTTCTGGTCCTCCACGGGGAGTCCAGACACTTGCAGCTCACTCTAGAGAACTGTTGGGCAGCCTCAGAGGCCACCTGCACCAGTCTCTTGGAGATCCATGCGGCATTTTCCCTGAGACCACTGGTAAAACTCCAAGACCTCTTCCCACAAATTCCAAAATACCCTCTTGCCAATTTTTTTCTTTGTCTCCAGTTTACAAATATAATACGTACACATTCTTATGCATATCTAAATTCAGCAACTAAAAATGATGGATGGAAATCTAAAAATGCCCATCGGAAGGACATGCCTGGATTTCAGGTGAGGGAAGCTCAGTCAGGGAGGGAGGTGGGAGAAGGGCCCTTAAGAAAACGGTCTGAAAAGAAGAAAGAAAGTAAATCTGAAGTGGAAGCAGTTTCCTGTGAATACGAGGAAGGTGTGGATGCCTTCACTAGCAGGAGGCGAGATTAGGAAAAATGCATATGGAGAAAGCCTAAGGAAAAGGATCAGAGCCGGCCACCGCCAACCCGCCAGCAGGACCTTCCTGCACACGAATTCACACGGCGGAGAGCAGTGTCCTGTCCGTGTGGTTTACATTCTGCTGTTTCCACTGAGTTCCAGCACCTGTCCAGGCCCAGAGATAGCCTTCCTAATTATAATTATTTCAGCTGAAGAATATTGTGAACGCATCAGAAGCTGATCAGGAGTGGGTTCTTTGTTTGCAGTGCTGGGACGGGTTCTTTTTTTGCAGGGCCTTGCACATGCTACACCCCCAGGCCCCCCCTTTTTAAAGCAGCACTTATATTTGAACTTCACACAAAATGAAGACAAGCCTGCTGTGGTTGGAGGTGGGTGGGAATCTTGCCTTCCTGCCGTCTTTGTCCCCAAGGGCTCTGGTGTTGAAGGCTGGGTCCCTTGCCTATGGTGCTACAGGGAGGGGTGGAAGCTTTAGGAGGTGGGGCTTAGAGGGAGGAAGTTAGGTCACTGGGGCATGTCCTTGAAGGGGATATTGAGACCGGGGCTCTTCTCTTTCTCTTCCCAGCCACCAAGAGGTGGGAGCCTCCTCTTGGCTGTGCCCCCACCATGATGAGTAGTCACTACAGGACCTGCGCAAGAAGGGCTGAAACCTCTGAAACTTTGAGCCAAAATAAACTTTTCCTCCCTCAAATTGTTGGTGCCAGGTATTTTGTGATAGTGACAGGAAGCTACTGATGCAGCCACCAATCTTATTTCCCTGGAATAATCCCCAGCCCCCGCCATCGCCCCAGCAGTGCCCGCCTTGGTGTCTCTGTGAACAATGAGGGTTTGGTTTGCAACTCCTAGTTACCCAGTCCTTCCTGTGTACCTAGGTAGTTTCCAGTCCTTTCTGGCTAGTGCCACCAACAGAACACTGTGTACACATCCATGCTGGTGCTTTGCATTATTCTAGAGAGTACATCGATGGCCTTTTAGGATCTGTCAGATTCAGTCAGTTCTGGGAAACTGGCGAAGGCTGGTCAGGAAGAACTCTACTCCATCTTGATCCCCAGGGAGTGGACTCAAGAGTGAGGAGGCTTGAAAAGGGCAGGCTGGCTCAGCCTGTGTCAGCCGAGGGGCTGGGGCGGCTCCCCGCAGATGGGTGACAAGGAGCCCACCGCACTTACCTGGTTAATCATGCAGGTGTCCAGCTCCTCTTTGGAGAAGCTCCTTTGTCCTCTTTCCTTGCTCTGCCAAAACAGAACAGGACAAAACCTGAGACACTGAAGACGGGGCATCTACCTGGCTCCTAAACTCTTTCTTTAGTCCAGTCGACCAGGGGGTGCTTTCTGGGGAGCTGGTCTCCTGTATTGATCATGGTATGTCTCCATGGGCCCCAGACTGTTCATTGTGCTTGCAGTGAAATAGAGGACCGTGCACCGCGCATCGCGATACGTTACTATTCTCCACGTAACACCTGTGACTGGGGAGGGCGTGTGTCCCGCAGTAGAAGTAGTGCCGTCACACTGGGTGGGTTTGACACCAAGACCTTTCCACCACCCACACCAGGACGCTGGAAGCTGCGTCCAGGCCCTCCCTGGAGTTCCACCTTGGCCACTGCAGCTAATACTTTGGCCCGTCAGGATAACCGTCAGGCCGGGTGGGCGTGTGGTGGAATCCGCGTGTCTGTGCCCAGCCTCACCCGGTACCACATGAAGATGGTCTTGAAGGCGTTTTCGTTGGAGCAGGAGCCACAGGCCATAGTGATGAGCTGGGTCATCCCTTTGGGAGCCACCTGCAGTGAGGGAGCCAGCTGTGAGCCCAGGCCCGGGGACCCCAGCTGCATCTGTGAGGGGGCTGTGCCCTGGCTCCATCACCCCGTCACTCAGAGGCCAAGGACGGGAGGGATGTCCGGAGGAGCTGGGTTGGGAGGGTGGACTCAGGCTTCTCCAGAGGCAGAGGAGAAGCCCAGGGGGCCTGAGGCCAGCAGAGGGGACAGACGGCCAGGGAAGCCCAATCTGCACCTTCTGATACAGCTGCCACCCACAGACACGGCACCCTCCAGGTGGGAAGTCAGGGTCCCCGTGACTTCAATCCTTGTAGCAACTGAAACTGAAAACCCAGGAGGACAGGAGACCTAGGGCCGCGCTCCTACCAGGGACAAATATCACACTGCCTGGTTCCCTTGGTCTTGCCCACAAAAACTCTTTCTTTCCTTCAAGAGGAAAATTGGAAATGATCTTTATGGAAGAACAAGATTTTGGAAGCAGCTCCCCATCCTCCATTGCAATCCTTGCTGCCCCTGACGGGACCACCCAGGACAGCAGGGCGGAAGGCAGAGGTGGGGCTGCACAGTGACAGGATTGTCCCCCCACCCCACCCCACTCACGGAGAGCAAGGACTCCCGGAGCTTCTCCACGAAGTTCTCTGGAGGCAGGATGCCCAGCGCAGGTCTGTTGATGAAGGTGCTCTGCAAAAGACCAGGGACAAATGGTTACTGTGTCCCTTTCCACCTTTCCACAGGTGATGGGTTCAGTGGGCTCCACAGGGCACTGTGGGCTGCTGCGTTCTGTCCGGGCAGTGACACATCTCCCTGCTCTTCAGAGTTCACGAGGCTGCTCTGGATTTGAAGAGGGCGTTCCTTGGCTGTGCTCTCCGTTATAAGGTGCTGCATGGTCGGGGTCTGGGTGAAAGGTAATGGGATCTCTTTGTACTATTTTTCGCAACTTCCTGTAGCTGTATTATTTTAAAAACGCCATCAGAATGGGAAGAAGGAGAGTGACAGGTGCCATCCAGGATGCAGAGCCCTGAAACTCCCGTTCCCAGCTGGAGGGCGAAATGGTGCAGCTACCTGGGAAAGCAGCGTGCTGGCTTCCTGTGATGTCCCAGGGCATCGTCCTGTGGCCCAGCAACCCGCCCCAGGTGTTTACCCAGGAGAAGAGGAAGCGCACACCCACATGGAGACAGGTGTGTGCACCTTGTGGTGGCTTTTATTTCCATTTACCCCTAATTGGAAACTATTCAAATGTCTCTCCGCTGGGAAGAGGGGAACAGCTGTGGCTCGTGCCCACCACGGAGGACGACCCAGCACCATCAAGAACAATGCACGGGTTCGGGCGACCACGTGGAGAAAGCTCAGAGCCGGATGCCGAGTTAGAGGTAGAAGCAAAGGGCTGTGCGGTCTGTTTCCATTCGCATGACATTCTGGAAAAGGCAGGCCACGGGGAACAGGACAGCCATTGGGGGGCTGACCCAGCTGGGAGGGGATGTCTGGGGCAGGGCACTGCTCTGTCTGGAGTTTTTAAAAGATCGGGGTAAAGCCGGGCGCGGTGGTGCGTGCCTGTAAGCCCAGCAGCTCGGGATGCTGAGGCAGGAGATTGCGAGTTCTACTTGGAATTTCCGAGTAGAATAGGGGTCTGATGTGGGGGTCTCAGCCTCAGCAACAGGGAGGTCCTAAGCAACTCAGTAAGACCCTGTCTCTAAATAAAATACAAAACAGGGCTGGAGATGGGGCTCAGTGACCGAGTGCCCCTGAGTTCAATCCCCGGTAACCCTCCCACCAAAAAAAAAAAAAAAAAAAAAGGGAAGAAAGTGGCCTGCACTGCTTGCTTGTCAGGTTGGGAGGACACCCCCAGTGGCTCTCTCTGCAGCAGCACCAGGCCAGGTGGGGCTGTTCTCCTTCCCAGGGAGGCAGGATGGGCCCGGACCGAGTGGACAGTGAGCCCTGGGGAGAAGCGTCACTGCACCGTGGGGCTCACACCTGGCCGTGTGGGCAGGGCTTTATGCATCCCTGGCTGACCCTGTCACTTGTGCTGACCAGAAGCACGCGCTGTGCCCTGGAGGAGAGCGATGCCGCAGAGCGAGGGGCAGTGTGTGCTGAGCCAGCGGACTCACAGTCCAGCTAGGCAAGCTGCAGGTGGCGGCTGCAGGGGCTACTCTAGGGGCCCAGGAGGGGCCTGAGCCAGGGACACACAGCAGGGGGCCCACCAGGAGCCAAGCCCTGCATTTCCTGGGGAAGTGGAGTCGGGACAGTCTTGGGGGTCCCCAGCTCCCCTGGCAAGCACTGGAGGAATCCGGGAGGGCTTTACTTTAGATGGACAGACTTATTCTAAAATACGGACGTTTAATTACAAAAGCAGGGTTGTCCTGGGATTTGGGGACTTCCTAGGTACCTCTCTCTCTCCCTGACATAATCAGTGTAATAAGCTCAATGCAAATCCAAACAGTGACATCACTGTGTGGGGGAGGCTCAGGGACAGGGAGGCTCCAGAGGTCATTGTCCTGGTGGCTTTGGGTCACTAGAATTGTGGCAGATTCATACCTCTGTTGCTTTTTCTGCTCTATGACTATCCAAGTGGGTCTCAGATAATTCCTGGGGGAAAATAAGCTTCCCCATTGTAGAGTTAGCAAAACTGAGGACCAGAGAGGTCAAGCAACTTGTCGTAAGATGCACTGATAGAAAGGGACAGAACCATGACACAGACCCAGGTTTGCTCGTTTCAGGTGCCACTCCCTGTCAGACATGCCAGGCAGCCTCACCTGGCGATATTAATAGTTCTGGGTACAAGTTGGCTTGGCACAACTGGAGACCTGGGCTTGCTTAGGGTCCTTCAGGGAATGTTTCCCCCTAGTTCGAGCTGTTCATAGGGCTCCTAAGAAATCTGGTGCATCATGAGAGTAGGGTGGAAGCAAATTGCCCTCACCGTCACAGGCTGCAGGGGACGAGGCTCCCAGAGGGCAACAGGCAGGCTGGCAGCTTGACTGCCTACTGCCTATCTGGGCCCAGGAAAGCTGTGGGGGTGGTGTTCTTGTTCAGCAAAGCGTAGCATTACGAGCAGAAGGTATCTGGGACATCAGGTCTCAGAATCAAATGAGGGCAGGTGTCTGCAAGCCTCACTATCAGCTCAGCAGTCTTAAAGTGCAGCATGGAGAGAATGGGCTTTGGTTTAAGTGGCTCTGCAACCCCAGGCAAGTCACTTAACCTCGCTGAGCTTCCGGGTCTTCATCTGCCCAAATGGGGTCAAGGTGTTTTTAAGGAGCTATGAAGTGGCATTCAGAGAATGCTCAGTCTCAAACAACTGTGCAAATGGGAAGGCCTGGCAGTCACAGGTCTGTGTCCATGGTACCTGGCCAGGGACCCTATGCTACGTTCATCCCCTGCGCAGAGAAGTCAGATTGCAGCTGTCATTCACTGCACTGTGACTGTGCACATACAAAGCCCAACAACCCTTGCCCAGCTTGTGGGCAACACAATAAGATGGCCCTGGTGACATAAAAAATTGTAGCAGGGACCCACATTTTAGATCCAGGGAATGTGGTGTCATTTTTGCAGTCACCTGACTTCATTACGTTGGAGTCTCAGGGCGGTGCTCGGGGGTGCAAAAGGGCTGCTGAGCTCCTTCGCACCTGAGCTCCTGATGGCCTGGCAGGAAACTGTCATGAAATACTGTAACCTGAGTGCGTCTCCACTGGAGAACCGTCAGTGGGCAGCCTCCCAGCCTGACGCCTGCGTGCCCCGCGGCGTGTCGCTGTTCGGAGTGGCGGTCAGCTAGTACTGCTTTAAGACTTGCTGGGGCTCCTCTCAGTGAGCTCCACTCAGGTGCCCTGCAGAGCAACTGCTGAGCTGGGATAGAGGCAGCTCTCACAGGAGACCAGCGCTGGCAGGAGCAGGACTCCGGGTCACTGTGAGGTGCCCGTGTCAAGGAGCAAGGCCCAGGGAGAGAGCAGAAGCCGGTCACCAAGGGCTCTGCCCTGGAAGCAGAGGCCTCTGGTGGCATGTGAAGGTGGGGACCCTGGGAAGGGTTTGTGTGCACACCCGAAGCTCAGCTCGAAGCACACAGTGCTTGGCGGAGAGAGAACAGGGGTGGGAGGGGCTGCTGGGGACAGGAGGGGCAGGAGCAGCCCTGGACAGGGGAGGGTGGAGGGGGTGGGCTGGGGAGCCTCCTGGCGGGGACAGGGCAGTCCTCCGTGAATCGGCCTCCCTGGGCCTGGACGTCAGGCGATGCTGGGGAAGATCCTTCCTCCACAGGCAGCTGACATGGAAATGTGTTTGACTTGTTTGTTGACGTGCTTCTCTGAGCACCAACTGCCGGCGCAGCTGGGGTTTGCACAACACGGGGAAACAGAGCCCGCTCGACCGTAAACAGCCCAGCCTGCCCCGCGCCCAGCAGACACCGTCCCTGGGACCCTCCTTCCTCGGCAGCAGCCCTGCCCCTGTCTGCTAACTGGAGGCAAGGTGTCCCCAGGTCCCTCCCGCTCCCTGCCAGGCAGGGCCACCATTTATAAGGAGGGAAGGTGCTTCTTTTTGACGGTCTTCAGGTTTGTCCTTGGAAAGGGAAGAACTTGTAAGACTCAGGTCCCGTGAGGGTTGGGCTGAGGTCCTCCCGGCCTGCCTTGGATTTATTTTGGGGACTCAAGCTGTTTGTCATGTGTGGAAGAGGATGTCCCTCTCTGGGGCAAATAAAAACCCCAATGACACTCCGTGTTGGCAAAGGAATGGGGGACAGCATCCCTCCCACGCTGCTGGTGGGAGTGGAGATGGGAGCAACCAGCTGGGAAAACGGGCAGGATTTTCTGAAGCTCCACCCAGACACCACCCAGGCCAGCGACTCCAGGCCTGCGCGGTAGCCCGCAGACCTGGGAGGTGTGCCCACCCGCAGGCAGACCGAGAGCCCAGTCTGGAGCCCACCACGTGCCACCAACAGCAGGATGGATAATCGACTGCAGAGTATTCAAAGTGAGATTACAGCCAGGAGGATGGACAGTCTCAGCCACACAGGACACCCCCAAGATGAGTCGCTCAGACGTGGCTTTGAGTGGTATAAGACCACACTCCTGGCCACGGAAGCTGAGATGGTCCAGGGGTGTGGCTTTAAGCCAGCTAGGTCGGGGTCATTTGTCATGGTAGTGATGGAAACAGGACATTTCCCCAACCTCAGGATGGGGAAGAACTGGGAAAACAACGTGGGTGGGTCGTGTTCGTAGGCGCACGATGGCTTTCTAGCCATTCCCAGGGCAGACGAGCCCTCTACTTCATGGGCTCTCAGCCAGGTAGGTGTGCCTGCTGCGGGCCCCGGCCATGTCTGCAGACACTTTGGGTCAGGGAGGCACTGAACACCCTCCAACACACAGCTGTCCCCACAACACAGAACGTTTGTCTCCCAAGGTCGCAGGTGCTGAATTGAGAGCCCTGCTGTAGGAGGTGCCTGAAGACTACGTGGCTTCCCTCAGGCCCTGGGTGTCACCAGGGGGTTGGGTGCTTGCTCACCAAGTCATTCCCAGTGCCTCAGATGAGCTCAATAAGTTTTTTTTTTTTCTTTTTTTTGGTACTGGGTGGGGATCTAAGCCAGGGGAATTTAACCACTGAGCTCCACCCCCAGCTCTTTCCATTTTTTATTTTAAGATAGGGTCTTGCTTGGGGACTTGCTAAGTTGTTGAGGCTGGCCTTGAACTTGTGATCCTCCTGTCTCAGCCTCCTGAGCCTCTGGGATTACAGGTGTGCACCACCGCGCCCAGCTCAATAAATTTTTATGGAATGACAAATGAATGAAGAGACTATTTCTAAAGACACCAGTATGGCGAATGGCCACACACAGCTGGTCTTTACTCAGCGCAACAGGGAGACATACCACATTTTGAGGCTGCTGGATGAGCTTCACCAGGGCCGGATGGCTGTAACCTGGGGAGACAAGGGCACCGTTAGGGATGAGCAGCCTGTGGGAGACTCCCCAGGACCCTCCCCCCCTTCCCCTACCTGGCCTTCAGCCCTGTGACCTCTTCCCATGTCAAAGGAAGACAGAAGATTCCCAGAGCCCTGACCACTGACTCTGAATTGCTTGGCTGAGAAATCTCCCACACCTTCCCCAGGCCTAGATTCCGATGCTCATGCAGGTGTGAGACCCACCCACTGAACCAGACAAACTTCAGAGGAAGTGAATGCAAGGTCAGGGCAAATCTCAAGACTGGGCCAGGAGAGGTTCAACAGGACAGACGGCCCCGCCATTTCCCCAGGGCCCCCTGGCTGGGGTGGCGCTCAAGGTGGTGCTCTGCTAGGGACCCGAGTGAAGCAAAGGCAATCTGTGGGCTTGTTTCCTGTCCAGAGAGGACTGAGGATATCAACAAGGCCCAGGGTGCTCTGGGATCCAGCGAATGCTCTCCTGAGAATTTATCCTCCATATCTGGATCTTAGATGGGACCCTCTATATCTCAGGACTTGAGAGCAACCTAACATCCATCGATAGCAGACCAGGGAAATAAACCACCACTCATTCATGGGATGAATGGCTTCCAGTGTGCCCAGACTATTACAGAAAAGCATGAGTTACCTGTGCTGAGTCAGAATAACCTGAGGTCTCCTGCCAAGGGCAAAATAGGAGGCAGGACACAGGTGTGCTCATGCACTTCTCGCTAGAAGAAACTAGTGATAATGGGAAAGAAATTGGGGACGGGCTCAGACTTGGGAAAGACACTCCCTCAAGTAAAATTTTAAAATAAAAATATTTATTTATTTAAATGAAAAAAGTTGAGACAGGTTCTCATGAAGTTGTTAGGCCCTCTCCAAGTTGCTGAGGCTGGTCTTGAATATGTGATCCTTCTACCTCAGCCTCCTGAGTCATAAAAACACAAAAAATTTTAAAAAATATTTATTTCTCTCTTTTTTTTTTAGTTGTAGATGGACACAATATCTTTATTTTATTTATTTATTTTTATGTGGTGCTGAGGATCGAACCCAGGGCCTGGCATGTGCTAGGTGAGCGCTCTACTGCTGAGCCATGGCCCCAGCCCCACAAAAAGTTTTTTAAAGTTAGTCTAGAACTGTTGGTCGAATGAATGAAAGCACCTAAAACACAGGAATAACTGTGTGGCCATGTTAGACTTGAGTAAGGCTGCTTTGCTCAGGGGCCTTTAGAATGAAGACGTCTCTGGGGTGCTGCTGTGGTTTGGCCTTCCTCGGGGAGCTGAGCTGGGCTCTCTTTTTTTGGCAAGGACCCTCTCTTCCGGCCGCCTGCCAGTCGGTACTGAGAGAGAGCACCCATCACACTGGAGCACCGGATGGCAGCAGGGTCTCTCAGGAAAAAGCACTCCACACCTGACGTCTTTTTTTTTTTTTTGACATGTGTTTCTAAAAATCCCAGCCGTCAACCTGATGGACGTGTCCTCATGTTTGTGTGGCTTGAAGCCTGAGAAGTGGCAACAACACCCCTGAGACCCGTGGTGACACCCCTTCACCCTTCTGCCTCCTACAGATCCCCCTGACTGCAGCGATCCTGCTCCACCAGCCCCAGAATGCTTTGCGGCGACACCTGGACCCCATGGGTCAGAGGAGGGAGTCTTGGAGGAGCCCCACGGTTATCACACCCTGTTCTGCTACTGGGGCCACCAGGTCTTGACTGCACTCTTCTGGGGCTAGACTGTAAAGGACTGTGATGCGATGGGAGGAGGAGGGGTAGGGGCTTAGAACGGGTTCTGGGCAGCCCGGGGCCTTGTGCACCACCAGGCCAGGGAGGGTGAGGAGGGCCAGCCTGTGCCCTGGTGTGAGCTCTCCACTCCCAGGTGGGCAGCTGTGCCCTGAACACGCCTTCTGCACACTTGGCTTGCACCGTCCTGTGGCCTGGGATGGCCCCCTTTCCCTCTTGCCTGAGGCCTAGGCGGGACCCCCTCCTAGGAAGCCCAGCTGACAGGCAGCCCGTGCCCCTCTCCTCTTCCCACCGAGTTTTTTTTTTTTTTTTCCCACCAAGTTTGACACCTCCATGGTCAGCACTTGTCAAATGCTGCCTGAGAACAGCATCCCAGACCAACAGGATAAAGCCCCACTTCACACGGACATTTTGACAGAAGCAGAAAAGCATTTGCCAAAACCAATGTTTTATGATAAGACACTATCATAAATTTATGATAAACTGGGAATACAGATATGCTTGATCTCCCTGACACAGGGTCCCTCCCAGAGCCCACAGCCGCGTGGATGGTGAGAGGCTGCCTCCCCTCCCCCGCCCAGGTTCAAGGGCAAGACTCCCTCCTGCACTGCTGTTGGACATCACATCAGTCAGTGCACAGGCGAGAAAAGGAAACAGAGCATTCAGACTGGAGAGGAAGAAGTAAAACTGTCTCTTTGCAGATGGATGGCATGATCTTGTGCAAAAAAATCCTGAGGAATCCACTAGAAACCTCAGTGCCAGCGAAGGCGCTCAGCACGGCTGGGGGAGGCAGGATTAGTGCATTTGAATCACGTGTTTTCAAACACTTGCCATGGACGATCAAGAATGAAATTAAGAAAATATGTGCTGCCTGGCATTGCAGTCCGACTTGTCTGCACAGAGTGGCGCTTCTTGAACACTGTTGGTCGAATGAATGAAAGCACCTAAAACACAGCTTGATCTGGCCCAATAACCTTGACAGACATTCTCAGAAACTTCAGGCTTTATGTATAAACTTATGGAATATTAAAAAGAAAACATATACATAATAATTCCCATTTATTGAGCACCAACTGTGTGCCAGGCTCTGTGCTACGTACTTCATATGCATGATCCTACCGAATCCCAAAGGGAGCCCGTGAGCAACATTGTCAGCTCAAAGATGCAGATGGAAGCAGAGAGACCCAGAGAGGGCAGCAGACGCCTGGCTCCTCGTCCAGAAGCAGGCTGTGGGCCCCGTGTTCTAGCTGTGTGGCACTATCTCCTCCTCCTCCCTTCACGGCCACCATATCCACCCTCCCTCCTTTCATGACAGCTTCTGTTAATGGAGCATCTACTATGTGCAGGGGGCTTTCTGTTCATAACTGCTAATCCTGGCAATAATCCTGGCAGGAAGGCCAGATCTGCAGGAGGAGGGAGGCACTGAGGTCTGCGGCGTGTTCAGGTCAATACACTTTAATTGAATGCATGAATCACAGAGAGGTCCAGGGACACAGGCCAGAGCTCACAACTACCTGCGTATGAGGAAAGACTACCCAGTGCCTCTTAGAGCAGGAGTAGACTTTGGAGAAATAATCCCTGGTCTGAAAGGATCACAATTTTTATTCCACATCCTGCTAGGGTCTGAAAGTATGCCCCCCGCCACTCTCAATTCCTATGCTGAAATCCTAACCCAAGGTGGTGTCAGGGGTGGGGGCCTCTGGGAGGGGACTGGGGGTGGGAGAGCCTTGCGAGGGGAGCAGTGTCCTTGTAAAGGAGGCTCATTTGTGGCCTTCCACAGTGTGGACGCAATGAGAGGTGCCGTCCAGGCATCAGGAAGTGGCCCTTGTTGTGCACCAACTCTTGAGTCTCTCGATCCCAGACATCCACCTTCCAAACCCTCAGAGATAACTTTTGGCCTTGTACCTGGCATTTTATCACGGCAGCCCCAATGGGCCAACACACAGGCCTTGTACCTATTTTCTTGAAATCAATTCACTTTTTAACTGAAATGCATTTGCTTTGAAAGGAGGCCTCCCATCACCTAGCTGCAGGCGGAATGCAGTGGGAACAATCTGTCCCACCCGGGCTCTGGGTCTAGGGCCTGTTGTCCTCCCTAATAGAGATCGGCAGGTGTTAAAGACCCGGCATCACCCTGGGGACACCTTCTCCTTGACAGAATGCAGAAGGGCCAGAGAGACTTGAAGAGCATCATGGTTTCCCTCTGCTGGCCGCGGAGATGGGCTGGCAAGTGAAGTAGGGACAAGGGGACAGTCAACACCCTCCAGCCTCCTCCCTTCCCCACACGGAGGCTCCCGGGCCCGAGGCTGGACAGCGCACGCACTCAAGGACGGAACGCTCTCTGGGTTTTTCCAAATGTTTTGGCCAGAGGTCTTTAAGCTCCGAGTCCTCGCCCTGCCGCCGTGGGGTATTGACGGCTTTCTGCCTCAGTGGATAAGCTCGTTCCAGGTAAACCTCATCAAGCCCAGAAGCTGCTTGTCTGATTGACTCCTGCAGGAGGAAGAGCAGCAGAGCTGGCCCCTGGTTAGGGGTGTCCCACCCTGGGCCTCTAGCCACAGGGTGGCTGGGAGGTGGCTCCCAGCTGGCTAGGAGGTGGAGTTGTCAGGTCCTGTCCTGCCTCAGCCCTGGACTCTCTGTAAGGTACTGGACAGACCCTGTGTCCCCCTGAAACCTGGCAATGATGTAAGGTAGAAATGATGTTCAAAAACCCTGTGATAGGACGCTGTAGTCATTTAATGAGACAGCATTGGGTGCCTTAGTGATACACCCGGCAGACAGTGAACTCTCAATTAGTATTAGCTTGGAAAAAATCATCTCAAAGACCACAGGCACGGGAGGGAAGGTTGCTAGAGAGGGACCACTCAGGACCCTAGTCTTTCCATGAAAGCTGCAGACCTGATCCTATGCCCTGCACACACTATTGGCTGGGGTTTCAACCTGAGGGAGCGCTGGGGATGGGTCCCAGGGTCATGGTTAATAAATGAGCCAGGATTTGAACCCAGGATGAGTCCAGAGCCTGCCTCCTGCACCCCAACACAAACAGGAGATGTGGTTTGGTGGGTCTTGGAATCTAAAATGTTTTCAAAGGCTGAGGCACCTTGAATGACAGATGTTCCCAAATAATGAGTCACCTGTCTACTGTCTGATCACATCTTCATGGGAAATAGAAAGGTTTGAGGAAACAGGTGGGGGAAGAGAAGGAGGTGGACACCCAAGGCTGGGTCTCGGGGGAGGAGGGGGAAAGGGCCGAGGAGCGCAGTACTTCCCCACTCCTCCTGCTGCAGACAAGCTTCCTCTGCAAAGGGACAGGCTTCATCAGACACAGTCCATGGGCCACTGAGCACCGTCGGGATCCATCAACCAAAGGAACATTATCCATCAACCAAAGGAACATTACCCATCCAGGCTGCAGATAGCCGCCACTGCGTTGGCAAATTAGCCCTGTCTCCCCACAGCCGTGCTGTGCAGGCTGGGAGGGGAGTCTGGAGGCAGGTGCTGTGGGCATCCCACCGAGGTCCTCCCCTCCCAGCTGCTGTGTGTGCTGGCTGACAATGGCTCCAGCTGCCCCCTCCCCTGGAAGACTGCCCTGGCTCCATGGCAGCCGCTTTGCAAGGAGATTGCCCTCGTCCTCCCCCGGGCAGCTGATGGGCAACCGATTGGCACAGGGTACAGAAAGGCAGCCCTCTGGCTCCCGTCTGGGGTTCAATTGCTCAGAGTCCCCTGGAGTCAGGCTATAGGGTTTTACAGCAGAGAGCCCTCATTTTTAGCTTCCCCCTGCCCTACACCGCCCCCTTCCTCTCATTTCCCCTGAAGGCTGTCCCTTAGCAGATGACCGGAACACCACTCCTGCGTCTGGCTATTCCTCCAGGAATCCCAGACCAAGATACGGGTCTATGCACACCGGCCACAAACACAGACTTGGTTCACCGCCTAGCTGGGGTTCCTTTCCAAGCTGCCGCCTCTCCAAACTTTCTTTTCCTATCTGCAAAGTGAGGATGTTAATCCATACCTTTGGGGGTGTGGGGAGGGGTGGATGAGGAACGATGTGTCCATAACACGCCCTCGGCACACTACTGCCTCCTTGCTTTGAAGGATGGGCCTGCTGGGAGGAGCATCTAAAGCGAAGGGCTGAGGGCAAAGGAGGGAGGAAGGGAGGGAGAGAGGAAGGACATCAGAGGACCGATTCTCCAGCTCTTACCTATGGGGACAGAGGAGATCTGGGAATAAAGATCCAACATGCGGTTGCCGTCCACGTCCACCAGGTAGTTACCTCGGCTCTCTTCGTAGTTGCAGAAAAAATGCACAGCCTCTGCATTCTGGGGGAAAGAAGAGACTAACTCAGGCTCACAGCGACCCCCGAGGGCTTAGTCTTCAGAAACAAGCCCGAATCGGTAAAGTCAACTATGTTCTGCCCATCCTGTGGACATGCAAGGCGCTTCTGGGTGCTTCTAAGGCTGCATTTCTTGCTCTGGGAGTAACTACATGGGTGGCTTGCTGTAATAGTTTTTTAAAGTTGTGACTTTTGTATTTTGTGAATTTTTCTATATATGTTTCAGATACCACAATGAAAAAGGCTGAAATATAAATCTAACGCAGAATTCCAAGAAGTTAGGATATATGTAGTAAACCTTACAGCCGCCACTAAGAAAACTAGAAATAAATAGTGAACGTTAAAGAAATAAAAAGGTTATGGAGGAAAATATTCATTTGATGCATATCCCTGCTCTAAAGCAAAACCAACCCAACAAAAACCAGTGAAATAAAGATGGAGGAACAACAACAACAACAACAAAATACACCAGACACATGGAGAACAAAAAGTGAAATGGGAAGCGTAAATGCAATTATGGGTGAATAGATTAACTGTGAATAGATTAAACCAGAGGTCAGAGATCGCCAGACTGGGTGAAAAGAAGCAACGGCATGCTATTTAGAGGGGACATACTTTAGATTCCAGACTATAAATAGGTTGAAAGTGAAAGGATGGAAAAGATATATGATGCACACAGTAACCATAAGAAAGCCTGATGGGCTTATGTTGGAACCAGACAAAAACAGACTAGAAAACAACAAGAAAAAAGTTACTACAGAAAGACATTTTATAATGATAAAGGAATAATCCACTAAGAAGATACAACAATTATAAACATATTTGCACCAAACAACAGAGCCCCCAAACCCATGAAGAAAAAATGGACAGAGTTGAAGGGAAACAGTTCCCCTTTAAATAGTTGTGGACTTCAATACCTAACATCCAATAAGACTAGGACACCTAGGCAGAAAATGAGCAAGGAAATAGGAGACTTGAGCAACACTCTAAAAAAGCAGCTGTCCAACCAACGTCAGCAGGACACTGCACCCGGCAGCCCAGCAGATGGCACCTCCCCCTCAGGCTGGCAGGGAGACTTCTCCAGGACAGACCACATGCAGGGACACTTCTCCAGGGCACACCATGGCAGCTCATCCAAGACGTTCAACACATTTAAAAGGGTTGAAATTGCACCGAATGTTTCCCAACCACAAAGGAATGGAATGAATAACAAAAAATTGGGAAATTCACAAAAATGTAGAAATTAAGCAGGATGTAAATAACCAATGGGTCAAAGAGGAAATCACAAGGGCAATTAGAAAACAGGTTTAGAACAGAGTCAAGTCCAGCACAGAGTAAGCTACGCCCCTCGGCTGAGAGGTGGTGGAGAAGCAGCAAGCCACGTTACCTGGCCCCACTCACCTGAATGACGTTCAGCTGCTCCATCAACTTCTGCAGGGGAGAAGGACAAAGGCGTCAGGCAAACACACTCTTGCCAGAACAGCTCGGAAATCTGTCCTGTTTTCCCCTCTCTTGCCAGTACTGTGGTAGCTTATTAGTCAGTCATCAATACTATAAATAATTTTAAATTACTTAATATAAATAGTTGGCAGGAAACCATTCCATTACCCAGTTAAATTACAACAGGTGAGATTTAGACACCTGGAATATAAAAGAAACTAAATATTTAACAAAAGAATTTAAGCTGAAGGAAGGTATTTATCTAGTGTCCACCAGAACATGGATTCCTTTTTTATTACGAAGAAGAAGAAGAAGAAGAAGAAGAAGCCTTTCACACTTCATTAGGAATAGAAAATAAAATCAACTAAAGTATTATTTTGTCTATCAAATAACCATTTGTAATTATAATCCAAACATTCCAAAAACTCTACGTAGAAACTGGGAATTAGAAATTAGTTGCTTTGATATGACAAACATCTCAGTTCCAAAAGAAATTCAACATAAAACAAACTTCATCAATTAATGTTTTACAATTATATATTTCCATGCAAAAATATAAAATAATATTACTGACAAGAATATGAAAAATCATTCCAGTGCTTTGCTATTATGAAGTTAGGATCCATCTCCCAATAGAAATATGTATGATGAAGTCTCTCCTTTTGTTAGTAAGACTCTCTCCCAAATAACTAATCATTTATACTCATACAGAGATTTCTGAATCTATAAAAGAGTTGCAATGACAATAGGTATATAGACACTCCAAGAAAAATGACTGAAGAAAATCTGCAAAATCTACAAAGAAAAGATAAATTTGCATCACAAAGGGTTGTGCCATTGTTCTGTTGCCTCCTTCCTTATCCTTCAAGTTCAAGTTCAAGTTCAAGGCACTGAACCTCTCGGCCCCTTGCCTATATATTGCCTGTTGGTTGATGTCCTGTCCAGCCTTTGACTCTAGACCCAGAGCACAGAGTCAAAAGCTGGACAGGACATCAGGTGGAAGTACCCGTGAGCTTGGGAGGAGTCCAGGCCTCAGCCGACTGAGCACAGGGGACCAAGCCCAGTCCAGTCTGCTGGAGGGTGGGACACATGGCGCACAACCACACCACTGCAGTGACCCCAGGAGAGACTACCCTGCATCAGTCCCCGGTCTGGAGGGGAGTCAGCAGAGTCGACTGCCCAGCCCCCGCTCAGCCCCAAACACAGGAGCCGTCTGCCTGCTGTGTGCTCCTGGGCTCCTGCAGGTCTGCGTGCAGCATTATTGTGGCAGCAGATAGGGACGTGTCTCTTGGAGCCTTCCTTATCTCCTGTGTGGAGTGGCCTAGTTTATTTTAATACCCGTCTCTCGTAAGGAACTGTCAGAAGGCAGCCAGCGAAGGCCCCTGAGCTCCTCCGTGTTCTTGCCTCCTGGGGGCTCCCTCCACCCCCACAAACCACTCAGATGTGCTGGACTCACCCGAGACCTTGGGCCTGGGACCTCTGTCTTCATCAGTGGCCCGTCATAATCAAAGTCAACGTCCACTTTGGCTGCAGCTTGACTGATGTATCTGGATCCTGCAGCAAACAAAGAAGAGACCCCTGGTGATGAGGGTCTGCCCCAGCAGATGCCCAAGGTCCCAACCGGACCTCAGCCTCAACCTGGCCAGCTGCCCCACAACGCTCAGTCAGGACAGAGCTGGGCACTGCAAGAGCACCCAGATGTCACAAATGGGAAAAGTCAGTGTCATTGAAATTACGCGCAAACAGGCAGCTCCTGCCCGAGTGCAGTGAGGGTGAGTGGACACCAGATCCTGTCCCTTAAGCAGCCATCCTCTAAAAGTATTCATAGAGTATTGTCTACAGACACAGTAAAGGGGCAACAACCTAAGCGTGCACGGCTGGAGGGCAGCTAAGTACAATCAACATAGCCAGCCACTGCATGCAATATTTATGCCCCTATTGTTTGAGATAGAAATTTTGAATACGAATGGACTCAGGAAGATGCCCAATAGTATTAGCACATGAAAGATCAAATTATAAAAATTACCTAGATTTTGTAAAAGTTTAGTCACCTTTTAATCTGCCTCGGCTCTACTTGGTTTGGGTAACTCTTTGCTATCCCATTTGGCACTGTAGGGTGCTCAGGGGCACCCTCGGCCACTGATCACTGCATGCAGGTGTCTCTGTCCTCAGCTGTGTCCCCAGCTGTGACGATCAAAACGACCCAGAAGGGAACCTGGGTGTAGTGGCTGCACCTGGAGTCCCAGCCAGTCAGGAGGCTGAGGCAGGAGGGCCACTTGAGCCCGGGAGTTCAAGACCAGCCTGGGCAACTAGTGAGACCCCCGTCTCAAAAAAGAAGAAAAGAAAGAAAGAAAGAAATCCACCAGGAGAGAATAATTAAGTTTCTAAATCAAGGTGGCCCCCAGGTAACAGATGTTTCCTGTTTTAAAAAAAGTCTTTGTCACAAGTCATTTGTCTGGAACCATTTCACATTTTTCGCGTACTGTAAACTCTCAGAGGGTGTTACGTTCCCGGGTGAGTCTCTGAGGTGCTTTGGCTCAGTGTGTGGCTGAAACACAGGGGGTGGCCTGAAGCCCGCCCTGCTCATCCCTGAGTGAAAGGCAACTGGGCTGGACCCGGATAAGGGCGGAAGGACTTGGAGTGGCCCTCAGATTCCGTCTCTCTCTTCACCTGCCTTCCTGGTATGTGCTTGCTAGTTGAGAAAGCCTAGCTCCTCTTCCTGGGGTAGCCTTTGTCACCATAATCATACCAGACGAGGGGATCAGCGGACACTTTCGATAAATCACCCGGGTGATGACATTTCTCCCATGAGCGTGCACATACGTGTAATAGCTCTATCTCTTCGTCTCCGCTACACAGAAGAGGAGACCAAGGTTCAGAGAGGTTTTAGGAAAACGTCTGGGGCTTGGATGGAGCTCAGTGGTGCAGAGCTTGCCTGGGTTTGGTCTCCAGCACTGAAAAGGGGGGAAAAACCCCTCCATGATTTCATGCACGCACACACACACTCACACCGATAGCGTGTCAAACCACACAGCGCCGCGATTTTTAGGAAACATTTAAATTCATTCTTCATTTTCTATGATTGCTTTGAATATCAAAGTTTCTGAATTAATTCCACAATATAATGCAGCCTTTTGAACATAAAGTCTAGTTAAAAAAACAGCACTGCACTGATTTAAGCATGAAGAAAACAGCCTTTATTTTCTTCTGTTTGATCTTAAAAAATGAAATTCCTGAAGAGTCTATTCTGCTAGAAGAGGGTTAAAGGTCGTGGGGTGCACGGATGATCTTTTTACATTAACTATGTCTCCTCCCTGGTGGAACTCGGGGTTGCCACAATGTGTCCCCATAAAGCAGAGAGCGGTGTTTTGGTGAAGACAGCCATTCACCAGCGTTGAGCTGTTTCCTTTCTAACGAAGGGGACAGGTGAAGCATTCACAATGAACTACTGACCCCACGAGGACACAGAGTCCTTTATGTTCCCCAGAAACTGTCTTGGTGTCAGGTTGTAGCTCAGGCTTCTTGGGGCCCGGGGTGGGAATGTGGGGCAGAGGGTGAGGCAGGGTGCACCAGAGCTGCCCTGGGTGGGTCCTGGAAGAAGGGCCGGGGTGTGGAGCTGCAGACAGGGGGACCCGAGGCAGACAAGCAGGAAGCAGGGGAGCTGGGCAGAGCGGCTAGGACCAGCCAACGGGGCTCTGGGCTGCGGGATGCTGGGGCCCGGTGCAGCACGTTATGAATTATGGCGTCAGCTTCTGCCGCGGGCCGAGTCTTTGTGCGCAGAGGAAGGAGGAGGGCAGGGGACCGCCAGGCAGAGACGCTGAAAGTCAGAGCCTGATAATTTGTGGGCAACTGTGCAATCGGAGAAGGGGGAAACAGAGTCAGCCCTACTATGTGCTAGGCAGGCCCCACCCAGGCTATCTCCTGGGTGGGAGAATCCACAACTCCCTTGGGATGAGGACCAGAGTGATTAAGTGTCTTCTCAAAATCACCCAGCTAGTGAATAGCAGAGCCAGGTGGGAACCCCCAAATTGACAACCCCGGTATTTCTGCCCTTCCTTCTGTGTTTCATTTTGGCTTTTGATATGGAAAATGACCAAATGACACTATAATGAATGTTCTATAATAATGACAAAAACGCCACACCCCATAAGAGAACAGAACAAAGTTTGGAGCCTCATGGAAACCTTCCCTTGAACTCCCTCCATCAAGTCACACAAACAGATGTCCTGTGTGTATTATCCCATGGGGTGAATGTCCCAGGAATTATCCTAAGTGGGTGACGTGGACTATCCCTCTTCGCCCTCACGACCCTGTTCTCATGTCCTAGAAGGAGACACCAAGGCTCACAGAAGCTGACTAATTTGCTAAAATTTAGCTAGCAAGTGGCTGGGCTGGAGATGAGTCTGCTGCCCTCTTTCTTGGATACTGTGAAGGTAATGGATATTTTTTTGCCTCTTTCCTTTCTTTGACCTTTGAAGTGAAACATCTGCACAAAACAACCTACTTTTCCTAGGGGGAAATCATTTCAGAAGCACAGAGAAGCGACGAGAAGCAAATTTGCAGTAACATGGAATGATCTGGCTTCATTCATAAGTAAGAGCACACCGGGAAGGCAGAGGGGTGTTGTTGAGAAAGAAGACGGACACAGGTCAGCCCTCTGGGTCAGACAGTGAAGGTCATGGCCCTCTGTGGCCACACCAACCCAAAGAGTCGATTTTTAACTCCCACCCATAAAGCAGCCACTGAGCATTTTCAATGTCCTCTCAATTTTATAACTGAGAGAATGTCACTTTACCGAAAGGCAAAGATCCTACAGGTGAGTCTGGCCAAACCCAAGGTCAAGTCCAGCTGGAGCTGTTAGCTCTGCTTTTCTTTTTAAAAGCATCTTCTATGCCCCTTATATGCTCTCACGTGCTCGTTGAGGATACAATACTTTGAATTTTCTACCCAGACATGACCCCTGAGGCCTAGTCTCCCTGTCTCTGTACACTATTTATCAATACAAGGTCACAATTAAAAAAAATTTTTTTTCCACAAAATGATGGTATTGGGGACAGTCCCTTCAGCTGCTAGCCACCATCATGTTCCTGGCTTCACGGGGCCCCGAGGGTAGAGAGGCCACAGAGAAGCCTCCCACACCGTGAGGCCAGACAGCCGGTGGCTCCCACCCGGCGCCTCCCTTGCTCTGTAAGGCGGCCACCAGCTCGAGAGCTGTGCTAGATGTCTGAGCATCAAGGGCGGAGGGTAGCCTCCTGCTGGCAGCCCCCAGGGACTGAACCCAGCCCCTCGACTGTGAGCACAGGTCACCTCAGGCTGCTAAACCTGTGGCCATCGTCACGTGCACACAGGGCCTGGCACCCGACTGGCTCCCCCAAAGCCTGGCTCAGTCACTTGCTATCCCAGGGCAAGTCACCAAGTGTCTGCGTTCAGGTCCTTCTGCCGTGGGGGCTGCGATGGGGGCTGGAGGGTGAAAACTAAGCAGGAGTCCTGTGGGGTTTCCATCAGAGCCCCCGCCCGCCCGAGGTGCGTGAGGCACGCGGTCGGCTCTTTCCCAGGACTGTTCCAGCGTCTTACAGAGAACAACTCTGCGCTGCACATTAGGTAGGCCAAGTTGAAGGCCAAAAGGAAAGGCCAGTGTCTCGCTGTGTGGCTTTCTGAATCTGGCACCGTGCGCTCAGAAAGATGTGACTCCCCCAGGACACCCACAGGTAGAGCTGGGACTTGGCCATTTCCTCTCCGTGCTTGGGGCCTCGTCTCTGTGCTGCAAAGTGGGTGTTGGGCACCCCCCCCGAGGCAGACACACAGGAAGTGCTTTCACGGGAGCCGTTTCCTCCGAGGCCAGGCACCTGTGAGACAGGCAGCATCTCTGTGCCAGGAGAAAACAGGCTGGGGCTCGCACTCCAGGTCAGGCCCGCCCGGAACTGGGGCTCCTATGAGTCTTAACCCAGGACCCTTTCCACGTGCCCCTTTGGGTGGGCTCAGATGTCCTTGAGAATGACCTTGAGAGATGGTGCCACGCTGCCCTAGGCTGGAGCCCCAGAGGGGGTGCCCTCTGCAGCTGGCATGGCACGAGGCCTGCGGTCTATGCCCAGCAGTGTTGGGTAGGCGAATGGACGCCCTGCCGCGGCTCTCCCACTGGGACACACCGTGCCTGGCCCGCCTGTTCTTGGGTTGGGATTATTTTAACATACTATGGGTCAACATTAATATGCTTCTTTTGTAAATACATAAAACAAAAACTGCCTCAGAGCCGGCTAATGACTCCTCAAAACCATCAGGCTCGAGGAGAATCAGGAAAGACAGGAACATCGCAGACCAGCGAGGCCAGGCCCAGGGCTGGGTGTGAACACAGGTTGTCCTCGCCGAGGCACAGGTACCAGGAGCTCCGTCCCCAGGGATGCTATTGGGAGGCGGTGAACCTCTAAGAGTTGGGGCCGGGGGAGGTTCTAGGTCTCTGGGGTGCTTCCCAGGAGGAGTTGAGGCAGCTCTCTCTCGAGGGCTGTCAGAAAGGAGCAAGCTGGCCCCGTCCAGCTCCTTCTGCTGGCTGGCTTGTGATGTGACCGTTATCCTAAGGTACACTCTGCCACTGTCACCCACGGTCTTCCATTCACCATCCCCTACAGGGCCTTTGCTAGACTAGAGTCTGCACCATGCCATTGGGACATTCAGTCTCCAAAACTGTGAGCTAAATAGACCTCTGCACTTCATAAGTAGCCCCCACCAGATTTTTCGTCATAGTAACAAAAAGCTGGTCCCGATACCTGACAACTAGGGCAATGTGGGAAACTAGGCTGGCCCTGGGACAGAAAAAGGCATTAAAGAAGCACTGGTGGAATCTGAGCAGAAGTCTGGAGTTGGCCAGTGAAGTCAAGCCCTTGTCTTGGAGCACAGGAGCAGAGGCCCAGGCAGGAGAGGGCAGGCCCAGCAGCCAGGGCCACCGCAAGCCAGGTTGTGCACGCCTGTCCCATGGGGCAGGTGCAGACTCCTGCTTCAGACCTCCCTCAGCCCCCACTCCCTCAGCATCCAAGATCCACTGACTTCCACCTCTCAGGGGCAGGAAAACCGAAGTGGGGCAGACCCAAATGGAAATTAACATGAATTCTAAGCAGTAACGTTGATCCTTTCCAATCCTGACTAGCAGACATTCCAACCCAAACTGTCTCAGGTGACTCATTGCAGTGATGCAAAGCTGACGAATGTACTAACTACTGCCCATCATGGCCTGGCTCGGCTGGCGTTAAACACGCTCAGGACACTACCATCAGCCTGCAGGGGTGCCAAGGCCCCCAACGTGAAGCCTGTTTATAACCAAGTGTCGACTCCCCTGTGATCCATGGAATCCCGTACTGAAGGTGAGCAATGGGGTGGCTGTCTGGGCGCTCACCCAGGATGCACACGGCACAGAGCACGCGCGACCTGGAGAACCTGCACCGGGCTGAAATCAAGGGCCATGTGACAGGGATGCTACAGCCACAGGCCATCGATGGCTGCCACTGCCACCGCCCAGCTTCACTAGAGCCTGTCACACTGCATAGCACTCGATGGAGAAGACAGCAAAGTTCAAATACGCAGTGTCCCCGCCCCAGGACCAGGTCTTGCCAACCTGCCCCCCACCAGGGCTTACCTGGCACTAGCAAGCGGTGCTTGTGCTGGGAGCTGCAGACCAGCCGCCGGGTGAACAGCATGAAGGCCATGACCCCTCCTTCCAGAACAGGGACCCCTCACTGGCTGCTGCCCTGAAAGAGACCACAAATCCAGATTGAGGCCCACAAAGAATTCATGCTGCGGGCTGTGGGTCTCACCTCCACCTCTCCCCAGCTGTGGAGAAGGTTCTGACCACCAACCCTTTGCTATTAAATATTCATCTTAATCCAAGCCAGTGCTGCGCTGCGTAGACACTTTAACTCATTGCTTCTTCATTTGAGCTGTGCTACACTCCATGTCCCACATGTAGGGGTGACTGTGCCCATTTTCTGGATGGGAAAAGAAAGCAAGTGGACAGAGCTGGCTTGAGACCCCCTGTGGGTGAGGACAGGCCTGTGCTCTACAAGATGGACAGACTCAGAGCAGACATCCAGGCATCACAGTGTGGGGAGCAGACAGTCCTCACTGCCCTGCTCCCAGGTGATACTGGGCACCCAGTGAGCATCTGGTGGCCCATTTTGGAGTTAGTCACAGCCCCAGCGTGACTAACTGTCCCAGTTTGCTTGGAACCGAGAGGTTCAGGATGTGAAGCTTTCCATTTGGATACCAGGACTGTCCTGGGCAAATTGGGATGGTCACCCCATCCCAGGTATCTCAAGGCCAAGGTCAAGTTGACCTTGGATGCAAGTGACAGTGTCTCTTCCACTGCAGGCCAGTAAAGCCAGCAGGGAGCTCAAGATAGTCCTCAGCAACAGTGTCCCCTCTGCAGGCGGAGGACTGGCCCCAGAACCAGCTGCGCTGTGCCCTGGAGACGCTGGCTCCTTCCTCCAGGGTGAAAGTGGACCCAGCCTGAGGCCTTTGGGTGAGGTGCTCTGCAGGGCACTGCCCACCTTCATCTGCCCCGCCCTCCAGCACAGAGGCATCTCCAGGGCAGAAAAGGAACCGTCAGAGGGCTGATGGAGTGGGCCTCGGTCACGGGGCTGCCTGGGCTGCCGACCCCAAAGCCCTTGATTTCGCTCCTCGTATCAGTTAAGTTACTCTACCTGCAGCAGCTACGGGGCTGCAGGAGTAAAACTGCTGTCGTGCAGCGAATACATTTTCTTTCTTTTCACCAGAGAAAATTTTGGCAGGGAAAAGGTAGGCTAGGAAAGTGTGGCCATGAGCTAACCGAGAAATCACACTCCCCTCTTGACGATTTAATGGATTCTTAAAAATCTCTTCTGCTACATCCAGCTCAACGCCAGCCTGGCAATTTAGCAGCGTACACAGAAGGTGCACTTGCGCCTTCTCACCTCCAGCCCTTTGTCTCAAACGCCATTACTGAGGCTCCCCACAGTTCCATTTCTATTAAGCACATCTTTAAAAACTCCAGAATCTGGGGAGAATCTGAGCGTTAACATTTGAATATTCTGCACAAGCAAGAGCCACATCTGCACACTTGCAACTGCAGAATGTCATACTGGAAAACTTATCTTGGTGACATGTGACATTTTGGTGGCCTGAGGTTGAAACTGACCTTATAACAAAACGTGATCTCCATCAGACATTAATTCTTAACACAAAGTATTTCAAATCATAAGAAAAGCTGCTGTTGTCCACTCATTCTGTCACCCATTAATTCACTCATCAGTTAATTAGGCCCCTGTTAGAGGCAAGGCCCTGTCATTTAGGTGCGGAGAATGGAGGTTGGAAAACACACTGCTCTCCTTCTGAAGCTCATAATTTAGTGGCAGGGGACTACACTGGGGGCGGGGGAAGTGGGAGAATTTAATGTACTAGGCTGCTTTATCCAGCCTGTCCTAAAATTCTTAAAATAACCTGGCAAGACACAAACATAAAAATTTTGCAGCTCTCTGTCAACGTGAGAGACAGAAAGGAATCCCCACGCTGGGCTCTGTGAACAGGGTGCTGAGGCAAGGTGGAGAGATTCCCTGTGGCCAGGGTTAGGATACCAGGGAGGTGTCCCTGAGCTGTACCATGGACATTCCAGGGGTCGTAGGAGCAACCGCTCAGAGGTGTGAGGGTTCGGTGCAGAGAGGCGGGGGCAGGGGGGGGGATGTGAAGTCATGGGGGCAGAGGGAAGCTGGGGACAGGACTGGCTGGAATCCGATCTCCAGGAACAGAGCCAGTCCCACCTGTCAGTGGGCCCCAGGGAGGCCCTCTCCAGGGGAGGAGGGTCCCAGATGCTCTTGTCTTATCCCGAGGGTCTGTGCTCAGCCAGGCTCCCGGGTGGGACAGGGGATTCGCACTTGGCATGTCCACGAGATGCAGGGGTCACCGTGAGCTCAGGAGGTGGGTTGCTGGAGGGCGTGGGCTGGAATGGTGGGAGCTGGTGGGAGGGAAGAAGCCTGATGATGGTGATGAATCACACCCAGTGAGAGAATCCAGATGCTAAGGGCACACGTTGCCTGATTCCATTGACACGCAACTCCCAGAACAGTTTACAGGCCGCCAGAGGCTGGGGAGGGCAGACAGGGCAGGACTGCTGAATCCGTGGGGAACCCACTGGGGTGATGGAACATTCCGGAACTAGATAGAGATGATGGCTGGATGACATTGTGTCACCAAATTATCCATTTAAAGTGGTTTAATAGTTAAACTTGTTATATTTATCTCAACAAAAAATAAAAAGATGTGTGGAGTTGGCCCTCGGCTTTTGTAGCTGAGGAGAGCCAGCCGTGAGCGGGGCCTGTGGAGTAAGGACATTCTCTGATCACAAAGGTCGGAGCCCTTGTCTGTCTCAGAGACCAAAGACCCTACCTCTTCTGGTCTGTTTCCTCAGGTGTAAACGTGTGTGTTGGGCCACACTCTGGCCCTGAGAACCATCTGGAAGCATGTGGAGGACTCTCAGGACATTGCTCCCAGCCCTGCTCCTGTCCAGAGTGGCCTTAGTGTCTCCCCGTCCCTCCCTCCAGGCCCTCTGCCATCCGATGACCTTGGATCTGCACATCTGGAAAATGGGGAGGGGGACCAGGAAGAGCCCAGTCTTAGGGGGTTGCTTTCAGGACCCTGGCACCCGGCGAAGCTGTGACTACGAGGTGACGGAGAAACCCCCAGATCTGAAAGGAAAGCAGGCTGGTTGCCCACTGTCCCCATCTGTGAAACTTCCCATCTCCCGCGTCCCCAGGCCTCTTCTTGACGCAGCACTCGGCTTTTTCTCCGCGACTTGTGATCATTGAAAGTTTTTCTTAAAATCAACTTGTTTTCTAAACAATTTTAATTGAGGTTCTTTTCTGATCCCGCCCTCCTCCTCCCCCACCCACTTTGGGGAAAGAACAGAAAATTGACTTAAAGGGACAGCATGGAGTCCCCGAGGTTCCGGCCCCGGCCTGGCCCTCTCCTCACGCGCGCTGGGGATCAAGCCCAGGCCCTGAGCATGCGAGGCAAGCCTCTGCCACCAGCAGGTGTGAGGTGTCACAGACAGCCTGGCACCCAGTGGGGGCTTTTACGTCTAAGTGATCAGATCCGAAAGAGAACCCTAGGTCAATCCATACAGTAAACGGAACAGGATGGCCAGGGTCCAGGGCAAGCCAGGGTGATTTTGGTTCCGGCCGCGGCCGTGCACTGGATCTGCAGTAAGCTCTGTTTCTTCAGTGTGTCTCCAGCAAGACAAGTGGAAGACCCTGCTCGGGCAGATAGTGGACTCCCCAGTCCCACCCACCTCTCCCCACCCCCTTCCTTTAATTAAAATGCTAATTAGTTCTCCCTGCTTCCTCTTATCTGCCTAGTGCATAGGGAGCTGGGGGCGGGGTGGGGTGGGCGAGGAGGCGGAGTTCAAGGTCTAAATCAGTAAGATGAGAGGCCTGCGGGTGAAAGGGGAGAAGTCCACCCATTTTGCCTGGGAGAGTGATCAGCAGTAGTAAAGATGCCTGCTGCCATTTACTCTCACCTACCACAGGGGCCGCACCTGGCAGTAATTTCAGGCATTTGCAGGATTTGCCTTGAATGACAGGCTCAGAAGTTTAATGGGCTTGTCAAGGTCTGAGGGCTCACCGGCCAGAGCTTCACAGCCTGGACCACACCTGACCGTCACGTGGAGCTAGGCAGGGACTCCCACAGCACCCCAGCTTGAGTCTCGCAGGCTTGAGCCCTGCCCTGGGAGGTTCTGGAGGGGAGAAGAACCATGGACCCATGGGCCCTCACATACCCACAGGCCTGTGTGACCCCAAGGCCCTAGAAGTGGTGGGGTTCTGACCTTGAAAAATCAAACAACTCAAGAAGCCGGGATGGCACACCATGAGGGGCACTGGACATGAAGCGGCCTCTCTTCCTTTGCTTCCACCTGTCATCTTTCAAATGTTTGCATCCTTCAAAAGAAACACACCCCAGAGCAGCCTCTGCCGGCTCCGCATTTACCAGCGGCGTGACGTCAGGCATGTGAAGTCACCTCTGTGCCTCAGTCTCCTCTTCTGTAAAATGGGGATAATAACAATGAGCCCACTTCCTGAGCTAGCAGAGGTTGGAAGAGACCTGGGACTTGGGTGGGTGCTGTGTCCCCAGCCCTGAAGCAGTGCTGGACGCCTGACAAATGTGCTGTGCCCAGGGTGTCATGTTCCTGTGCGGCTTCCCAGGCCTGTGAGAGGGAAGTTCTGCATGCATCGTTGGCTAGAAGTGAGCCCCTGGGCCTCTCTGGGGCCCCAAAGTGCTCCCTCTCACGGCCCTACCTCGGCTTGAGACACAGCACTGGCAGGGTCTCAGGACATTCCTTCCCCGGCTGCAGCCCCAACAGTCAGCTTTCCTGCAGACTCAACGGGACACAAAGACACATTTGGCCAAGGGTGGCTCTGTTGTCAAGGCCAGGGGTTGCCATGACAACCAATAAAGCCGAGCCCTGGGCCTTTGCGGAAGGCTAACAGGGCCCCATTCATGGGCTCTGATGGATGGCCTTGGGACGGAGGCTTATCGCTGCCGGCTTCCCTCCCCACCCCTCCCCACCCCGTCCAGCAGCCTGTCCTGGTTTCTGTGCAGCGTGGGCGCCAGCCCACCCTCCCTGTCCACATGGTGCCCTGCTCCTGCCTCCTGGGGTGAGAGGCAGTCTTCAGCCCCTGGGGGCAGGAGAGAGGGGGACCGGTCCTGGAAACAGGCTGAAGGGGCGGCTGAGAGGAACAGGAGCCAGGAAGCGGGTCCAAGTCGCGGCTGGAATAGATCTTATCCTGGTGACTCTGGCGGTCGTTCTCCCCAGGGCTTGCGTTTCCTCGTCTGCAGGATGGGAGGAAGGAAGCTGCCCACAAGCTCAGGAGGCACTCAGTTTGGGAAAGTCCAAGTGCAGAATGAACCCGGGAGCCGCAGGAAAAGTGCCCCGTGGGATTTCTGCTTCCAGGAGCTCTCTGGCCTGGGGGAGGCGTTTCCTCCATGACCTGTCATGACGGGCACCCGCAGTGGCCTGCTACGAGCCCGAAGGCCCAGGTCCATAGCGAAGCTGGTGGGCCCCGGCCTCCCACCCTCCTGCGGCCGTCTCGGGGTCCTCCTGGCCCAGGCTCCCTCGGCAGGACTTGGTGAGCTCACATCAGACACTCAGGAGAGGTCGCCTGGGGCGGGTAGTGACCCATCTGTGAACAGAAAGGCCAGGCGCAGTGGCAAGTGGAAGTCCTCGGCACGTCAGGGACATGGAGCCTAAACCCACGGGAAGGAGGTGCGTGGCCAGGTGGGGGCTGGATTTCAGGTCCCGTCTGGAAGCAGGAGAGCAGCACAGAACCTGGGCCAGCGAGGTGCCCCCCAGGTGCTGCGAGAGCCGCCCCGGCCCAACCCCAGAAGGTCCTGCTTCTCGAATCTGTTCGGTTCCCTAAATGTTCACCGAGCACCCACACCAAGCCCTGGTAACCCGGGGTGAGCCGGCACAGGCCGCGCTCTGTTCTCTGGGACCGCGGGCTCCATGGGAAGGACCAGCCACCCGCAAACAGAGTCGGTGTGGCGGGAGCAGCCACAGCTCCCTTCCAGAGAAAGGAGGCCACCTGCACAGACTCTAGGAACTGCCAAGTGCGCAAATCCCGTGACTGTCGCCAACGAGACCCTCCTCTTCAAGGACTGCACGGTGTGCGAGCTGGATACGCTCTGTCGGTGACGGTGACGGGAGTCACTGCCTCACAGTGCTCCTTATGCCCTTGGAGAGATCCTCCCTCTGTAATTCGCAGGGTATTGTTTCACGTGCTCGTCTGCAGGAATCCGTTTGGATTTCACCAAGGCCTGCCACGTGGAGGCTTCTCACACACTGTCTCATCTACTCCTATTCCCATCTTTCAGGTAAGGAAATAGGCTCAGAGGGGTTCTGCTGTTTGCACGTGAACACACAGCCGGAGAGGGCGGAGCTAAGGTAGCGTCAAGGCTGCTGGGGTCTGAAGGCCACCATCTTGACCCAGACCAGGTTGGCAGCTTCAGTCCCCACTCAGAACAACACCAGGCAACTCAGACCAGAAAAAGGCACTTCAGCAGCACCACTCGAAATGGCTTCCTGAAGACCCGCTCTCTGCCACACACTCCCCTGCCTCTGAGAAACCCCAACCTTAGCCCGCATCTGGCATTCCCTTACACCCCAATTCTTGGTCCTCTGCCCCTTCCAGGAAGCAGAGGCCCAAACTCCATCCCTCCCAATGGAATGTGAGGTCCTCACAACAGCCTGACGTGTCCCTCAAAATCCACAGGTTGCAACCTAATCCCAGGAAGGGCCCTGGGGAGGTGCTGAGGTCAGGAGGGCAGGGCTGGGTTGGACAGGACCAGAGCCCTCACAGAAGGGACTCCAGAGAGCTCCCTGCCCCTGCCACCCAGTGAGGACACCGGGAGAAAAGCGAGCAGGAAGGCGGCCCTCATCAGACGCAGAATCCGCTGTGCCTCAACATGGAAGTCCCAGGCTCCGGAACTACAAGGAGTAGCCTTTGGTACTAGGGATCGAACCCAGGGACGCTTTACTACTGAGCTACATCCCCGGTCCTTTTTTAAATTTTGAGACAGTGTTTTACTAAATTGCTTAGGGTCTCCCTAAGTTGCTGAGGCTGGCCTCAAACTTTCCATCTTCCTACCTCAGCCTCCCAAGTGGCTGGGATTCTAGATATGCACCACCACGCCTGACCTATTCTCAACTTTTATGAGATCCAGTTCTGTGGATGCCACACAGAGTGAGATCACAAAGCACTTGTCTTTGTGTGCCAGGCTCATCCCACTTAATGTAATGCTCTCCAGTTCTATCTATTTCATCACGATGGACAGCATTTCATTCCTCTTCATGGCTAAATGGTATTCCACGTGCATATGTGCTACATCTTCTTTATCCCTTCATGAGCTGATGGAAACTCGGGTTCTTTCTAGGACTTGGTTATTTTGAATAGAGCTGTAGAAGCAAAGACGTCTCTGTGACACACTGACTTCCTTTCTTTGGCTATAAACCCCAGTGGTGAGATGGCCAACGCTGGGGTTGTTCTCTGTTAACTTTCTGGGGAGCCTCCAGGCTCTTTTCCATACCTGCTGTGCCAACTCACACCCCTGTCAACCCCGAATGAGGGCTCCCTTACTCCAGACCCTTGGGACCCTTGTTACCTTGGTCTTTTTGGTCAGGGCAGGGAGGTGAGACTCACGTGGTTTTCACTGACACTGCCCCGAGGTTACTGATGTTGGGCATTTTCTCAGATACCATTGGCCACTTGTAGGTCATCTTTTAAGAAGTGTCTATTGAGGTCTGTTTTCCATTTTTTAGTTGAATTTTATTTTTCTATTATTGAGTTATTCGAGTTCCTTATACATGGTGAGTATAAACCCCTTGTCAGGTGCATGGTCTGCGAATGTTCTCATGTGTTCTGCAGGCTGTCACTTCACTCCACCCGTGACTTCCCTTGCTCTGCGGAAGCTTTTTAGCTTGGTGTCATCCCGTTTGTCTATTTTTGCTTTTGTTTCCGATCCTTTTGGGGAGTCTTATAAAGAAAGTCCTTGCCTGTTCCAAGGTCCTGAGCGTTTCCCTACGTTTTCTTCTAGGAGTTTCCTATAATTTAGGTTGTGCATTTAAGTTTTCAATCCCTTTTGAGTTGGTGTGTGTGTGTTTAATATGGTGACGGGGGGGAATAGCTTCATTCTTCTGCACGTGGACATCTCGTTTCCCCAAGAAGTGTTCTCAGGTCTCTGCTGAAGATCAGCTGACTGTAGGTCAGGGGTTCGCTTCTAAGCCCTGCATTTTGTTCCATTGATGTGTTTGTCTGTTTTTATGTCAGCACTGTGCTGTTTTCATTCCAGAGGTATGGTAACGCTTCACAGAGACACACACACACACACACACACACACACACACACACACGCGCCCCTCTAGCTGGGCTTCAGAATTGTACACACGAGCTCTACCACGGAGCCTCACCCCAGCCCTGTCTCACATTTTGAGGTCAGGTAATGTGATGCCTCCTGCTTTGTTCTTTAGTTCAAAATAGTTTTGTCTATTTGTGTGTGTGTGTGTGTGTGTGTGTTTCCATGTGAATTTTAGGATTGCTTTATCTATTTATGTGAAAACTGTCATTGGAATTTGATATGCATTTCACTGAATTTGCAGACCACTTTGGGGATTATGAACACTTTAACAACATTTATTTTTCCAAACATGGGGTGTCTTTCTGTCTTTCATGTGT